ACGAGTACGAGTACTCGGCGCCTCCCAAAAGCTTCTTTCGTCCAAATGCTCCGACTGCAGGTCCGACACAGGGCCCTGAGGTTGACCGCCTCCGTCAACGTGTCCTCGTGCTTGAGATTGCACTTGTCCTTGGGACTGGTGGTGATGCTGCCGCCCAGGTCGGGAATCAGGGCGAGCTCGCTCGCCTTGCGGGCCGCCTGGACCTGTTGGAGCGAGAGGTCGCGAGCCTGTACCTGCGGGTGGATCGCCGGGCCTCTTCGTCCGATCTGGACGAGGCCTTTCGCATGATCCGACGGATCGAGGCTCTGCTGCCACGTCCGGAGCCGCCTGCGGCACACTCCCAGACGTACACGTATGGTGCGTACCCGGCGTACTCAGCGTACTCGGCGTATGGCTCCGGGGTCCGTTCGTGCGGAGCCTCAGGCGTACAGTCTTGACCGCAGCCTTGCCGTTCCGACCGAGGCTTGGGTGCCTGCTCCGACGCCTTCGTCGACGTCTGTGGCCCGCCCTCGCTTTGAGGAGCTGGGCCAAGGTGGGTCTGCGAGTCAGCAACCCCCTGCGGATCAAAGTACCGCTTAAGACGTCCAACATAGAACGTCGGGTGCGTCGTCATTGACTTTGTCAGGTCGATGGTGTACGACGCACCATGTCTGGCCAGGACTGCAAATAGTCCGATGAAGCGGTGCTTCATCTTGTTGCTGCCGACAGAACTGACAGTGTCAAGAGGTAGGTTCCTCGTGTCTAGCAACACTAAGTCTCCCACCTTAATATATACTTAAGTTTCCTCTTCCATTTTTGTCGGAGTACTCCTTTTGTTTATCTTGGGCCGCTGCCATGGCATCGCGGACCCTGCTGACAACGCTCAGCTTGGTATCCATAAAGGATTCCACTTGTTTCCGCAGCGAAACTGGTCTCACATCCGAGACCTGGGAGGAAAGGGCTTTCCTAGCCTCTCCCCCACTTAGAACAGAGGAGTCAGTGTCTCCTCGAAGAGTGAGAGGCACTCTGGAATGACGGAAGCCGTTCAAGTAGAACGGCGTGAGCCCCGTGGACGCGTGCACCGCGTTGTTGAGCGCAAACTCAACAGCTGGAAGCTGCGTCGACCACGTACGTGGTGCTGCCGCGCACACATGTCCTCGAGCACTCGATTGACGCGCTCTGTCTGGCCGTCTGTATGCGGATGGTCCGCCGCAGGGGACATCTGCAGACGAGTTCTTAGTAAAGGAAACAGCGTTTTCCAAAACGCAGCCGTAAGCCGCGGGTCACGGTCCGGCTAACAGGTCTCCGGGAGACCGTGATAGCGGAACACGCCATCGACGAACAACCTTGCGGTTTGTTCGCCCGTAACAGGGACGGGAACCGGAGCAAGATATACCATCTTGCTCAGCCGACACACGAACACTAAAATTCCGGTGTTGCCGTGTCCGTCGAGCATGCCGCTTGGAGTGCTTACCGCGGTGAGCGGGATGTCGCTCTCGCGCATCAGGATTTGGTAGTATTTGTCTACCAAATCCAGCGCACTGTACAGTACGCTCCCGGCCACGTTGTTCAACAACACATCCTTTCGTGGGATTGGTGTTTGGGCCGGCACCGTTGCGTTGTTCAGCTTGTTATAAGCGTGAACCAGACGCCACTTTCCGTTCGGCTTCCGAACGCAGAAAGTTGGCGTCGAGTGCGGGGATTTCGACTCTCGCACCATGCCTGCCTTCGCTTTCGCGGCGAAGAAGGCATCAATGACCTCGCACTGTTCGCGCGGGAGAGGCCATTGCCTCGTGACACAATACTTTGTACCGGGCACGAGATCAATCTCGTGCCGTACGCCTCGATCCGGTGGGAGTTGGGTCGGTGGGTGTTTGTTCACCACGTCCGCATACTCCGTCACCAAAGGATACACCGGATCCTTGGGGTTCTTAAGGATCTTAGAACCCAAGCGCGTCTGACGCTGCTTGTTTAGGTCTTCCAGGACGCTCTCGTCCAAGACAGATGAGGAGTTCAGCTCCTCCTGAGTGGTCTCAGGTCTCATGAGCACCATCTCAGCAATCTATCCAGCCTTGAATTTGGCCAGGAAAGACTCAGCCGTCATTTCCTCGAGGTTCAGTATCTCTGCAACCTCTGGCAGCGGTTCCAAGTGGACACCAGATGCCTTGACGGGTAAACCGGTCTCGCCATCGAAGATGTGATAACACTCTTCCACCGGTCTTGTCGGAAGAGCCCGGGCCCTGGACTCCGAGTCGCTTGAAGCGACGTCGATCGGAACGAAGTTCGGATCCGACTTGAGGCGGCGGCGGCGTCGTTGACGACGGCGACCGTGACGTGGAGCTTTGCTGCCTACGTCTAGGGATGTCGTTGCTACGACATCCGAGGCACTCGTGGCCTCGTGTGGTACTGTGGTACCCACACAGGAAGCGTGTTCGACGCCTTCCTCTTCAGTTAAGGTCTGGGTGACCGCGTGTGGTACTGTGTTACCCACACAGGAAGCGTATCCGACGTCTTTCTCTTCAGTTAAGGTCTGGGTGACCGTGAGTGGAACTCTGTTACCCACTCTGAACACGCTGTTCTCAGTGTTCGTGACAGCTGCAGCTGTCTGCGGAACTAAGCTACCCGCCTGCTCGACCGGGAGCCGACAAGGAACTCCCAGGCCATGCTGAGGCCGGCGTACGCGCCTGGCGATGGCTGTACTCTTCTTGATGAGCCACTTGAATCGCCTCTTCAAGGGTGCTTGACTGCACCCGGAACAGCTGAGTGCGTGCGGGGCCCACTCGAAGGCCGTCCATGAACACAGTCATCTTGATGTGCTCGTTGAGTGGGTTTCCCACTAGGGACACCGTGAGCTCCCGTATCTCTTGCACATACTCGTGCAGTTCGCGCCTCCCTTGTTTACACGAGAGGAAGCGCGAACGCTGGTGGTACTCGTAGTTCGCCGGGAGGAACGCGGCTCGGAGCTGTTCACACAGCTGAGCCCAGGATGTGAAACATCCAGGGGATGTTGCTTCCCGTGTGTACACCCAACTCTTAGCACGGACGCTAAGGTTGGAGAGTGCAAAAGCAACACGCAGTTGCTCGGTCGAGATCAGAGCCGCGTTCATCGCGAGCTCTACTTCTCGGACCCAGAAGTGAAGGTTCTCGCCTTCCTTTCCTTCATACGGCTTAACCTTCAGCCGTATTGGCTTCGGGTGAGGCGGATTTGCTTCCGCCGCCGGAGCCTGCAGGTTCTCCCGCACATGCGCGATGAGGACCTGCTCGTACGCGTCGAACCCATTGACGCCCTCGAGCTGCTCAGCCGGTGTTGACACCACCAGGCTCTGCAGGGCCTCCATCATGAAGATGCCTGTCATCTTCCGAACCGACTCGAACTGAGAGTCGTTCATATGGGAGAAGTCGTTCCTATCCATGGCAACGAACTTCGGAGGTTCAGGTAGTCTACCCGCGATGGCGTGGATTGACTACAAGTGCTACCAAGTGTGACGGGGTCACACAGCACCTTGCGCTAGAGGAAGTTATCTTCCGAGAGTATACAAACTCTCAGTGAACGGCAGTTCACAGGTCCCCTCTTTAATTAAAGAGAGCGAAGTGACCTAAATAAGGTAGATTGTAAACTGAGTATATTTATAGGTAGGTTAAGTTTGAGGTTAATACAAACTATCAGTTACCTATAGAAATGCAATGTCATTTAACCAATGGTTGGTTTTGAATGACCTTGGTACCTTGTACCAAATATCCCGGAGTATGACATGTCATACTCCTGAAGTGTGAAGTGTCACACTTCATGTAACCAGGGTACACTTAGTGCTACGTACCCCGTTACAGCAACGAACTTCGGAGAGGTTCAGGTAGTCTACCCGCGGTGGCGTGGATTGACTACAAGTGCTACCAAGTGTGACGGGGTCACACAACACCTTGCGCTAGAGGAAGTTATCTTCCGATAGTATACAAACTCTCAGTGAACGGCAGCTCACAGGTCCCCTCTTTATTTAAAAGAGAGCGAAGTGACCTAAATAAGGTAGATTGTAAACTGAGTATATTTATAGGTAGATTAAGTTTGGGTTTAATACAAACTATAAGTCACCTTTAGAAATGCAATGTCGTTGACCAATGGTTGGCTTTGAACGACCTTGGTACTTTGTACCAAATATCCCGGAGTATGACGTGTCATACTAAGTCACACTTCATGTAACCAGGGTACACTTAGGGCGACGTAGCCCGTTACAGTTTGGCTCGCTCCTTTTGCTTTGACTTCAATTTCAGTGTTTTCAATTGCAACAAACTTTCGATCCCATAGAAATGAAGATTTAATCGGTTGATGCGAAAAGAGGCCCTCTTCGAGGAATACAATTCGCCAAAGGGGTACGTGAGGCTCTTATAGCGGACGCGAATCGTAGCCCGACAAGAAGCTCGCATTGAATCGCATTTCGCCTTCCGCAACCTACAGCTTTTGTGGTGGTGCTTTTACAGCAGGCAACAATTTGCATCGATTTATAGGATTACGCCTTATTCCTAAATTTAGTTTAGATTTTTGCAGGAGTGACCGCAATTGTAGTACCGGTACTGTACAGTATTCAAGTGGCTTGTTATGAGGAGATGACCCGGTAACATGAAACCAGCGCTGCATGTATGCAGTAAATCGGCTCGAGCCTACATACGCTCCAATCGAGAACATGATTAGGGCCGAGCTTCGGCTATCATGTTTAACTGATGGAGGTATTGCAATATCTCGCTTTCTATTCTTTCTTAGAGCAATTGGTTTATCCGCTGGATTATAATTGCAATTGTTTTTTTTTGCCTGCTTTGTCCTTCTGTTAATAACGGTGTTATGTTTTTTGGGTTTTGCTCCTGTTGCGCTTCATTCCCTCATGGGAATAAAATTCGAGCGCTCAGAGCCCTTCTACTTGCGGCCTGGAGCCCCGCGACTCTACAGTACATGAACAACTGAAATACAGCTATTTTTTTTATTCGACATGAAGAACTCAAACAGCTGCAGCTTTTATCTGGATGTCGGTCGGTCAGTTTGAGCTACTGGGTATAACATCGAGCCTACATGTAACTTGAGGCGATTTCTCTTCGTCACCAACTTTTGCTTCAGGCTTTTTGAACTTGGCGTGCAGCCAGACACGGTCCATGGTGACTCCCTTCTTACGATTGCGCAGGCGGACGGTGCAGTAATCGTTCTCCAGTATCTGGAATCTAGCCTGCTCGAACAGCTCCGCGAGGACTTCGCGCGAGAAAAAGTAGGCCAAGGTGCCGTCGCTGCGATAGTAGAGACTCGGACCCAGCTTTTTGGCATTGCGAAGCATGGCGAGGTCGTACAGCCCATAGTCCCGGAAGCAGACAATTCCTCCCGGCCGCAACACCGTGAAGATCTTTTGTACTGCTCGCGCGAACGATTTTGGTGGTAAGGCTGAGAGCACAAACACCATCAACACGATGTCGATGGATTCAGGAGCGACGCCAGTCAGCTCCTCCTGCGCAATATCGCAAACGAAAGCGCGGCATCGCGTAGCGTCATACTCAGGATTGTGTTGAAGGATATCAATGGCGTGTGCGCTAAAGTCGCAGACTTGCGCGTGGATATTTGGGCATTCAGCTAAAATGGGGAAGATGGCGCTACCGTAGCCACATCCGAGCTCCAGAACCTCCAGCTCCGCACGCTCTGGTGAATACAGCTCGGGGAACTCCTTGACGAGATAGTTGCGGGGTTTGTAGACCTTTCCTAAATTCAGCCACGACGTTTAGTCAGCTTCAATATACTTCGCTAACAATTCACCACTCTAAATTAGCAGCTAATGACCGACCGTTGTTCCGCTGGTGGAAGACATCCCACTTGTATTTGGCCTCCTTGGCTAGCTGCTTCGTCTCGAGAAGCCCTCCTTTTGTGTCGTCTTCGATCACTTCATCGCCTTCCTCCGTATGCACCTGGCATTCTCGAGCGAGGTCTTCCCACTCGAAGTCACACGAGTGTAGCTGCACTTCACGCTTTAGCTTGGGTTTCTGGTCTGTCATTGTGAATGGCAAATGAAAAGCACACATGACTCACTATTTTTATGTCGTTAAACACAGGTATAATTGCACAGTAAATTTATTCTGGCACTTTTGTTTAATGACATTTCTATTTTTGCAAGTTTCGCTTCATACCAATTGCGCAAAAACGAATGGCACCAGCGAAGGAGAAGCGGAAGAGGAAGAGCACAGGCCGCGTGAAGAATGACCCGGCCGCCGTCAAGGTTAGCGATAAAAATGCTGTTCGTAAAGGTCACGTAGTCTGCATCACCTGCGTGCCATCAGCGCTGTGCGCCAGTGAGCGCACAGTACGAGACTTTTTTGCCGAGTACGGAATGCTGTTATCTGTTACGGTGCGTCGTTCACTTGCCATATTGGCTGGCATTGAACTCATTGCCAAGTCTTATAAAGAAGTTTGCTACGTTTTCATTACGAAAATAGATCCACCACAATTTCTTGGATATGGAACCCGATGGATTCATGTACTTGGAATACGCTGAGAAAGAGGAAGCGGAAGCTGCAGTCGCCGCAGTCAAGGAAAGAAGCGTGGGGCTAGCAGCTCAAACCGACGTGCGGTTCAAGAGGGTGATAGATCCTGCTGAGATTACGGGGATGAAAGCGGCGTTGGCGCTGCCTCGAGGAGAACCAAACTTTCAAGTAGACGAAGGTATGAAGGACATTTTGTTGGGTAGACTGGAGGTCAATCGGTTCTCGCAGAGCCAACAGGAACAAGCCATGGACGAGGACGATCTCATTCTACAGAGTCTGTCGCAACATTCGTTTACCACCTCCCAACCGAAGAGGAAGAAGAAGCGTCAGAAAAGCTCGGACGTCGCCACGACTTCGGACAAACCCAAGAAGACAAAAAAGAAGCCGAGATTCAGTAAAGTGGCATTACCCACCGAATAATTACTAGTTGCACATATTATTAACAATAGTTGAGATCCATTTTGCTTACTGCAACGAGGACGAAGAACGCTTCTCCTTCATGCGCCGTAAGAGCAACTCCATTCGCTCACTGGACGAGCAGGTGCAAGTACTGTGGCCACAAGTCGGACAGTGCTGCAGCTTCGCCTTCTTATTAGGAAGTCCGTCACTCGAGCCAAATGCGTCGGGTGCCTCACGTCGAGGAGTTGTTGCCAACGGTACTGGCTTCGAAGTGTCCTCGTTGTCGTTGGTAGACGCCGCAGACCATTCTTCGTCTTCATCCGGCGCGAACTCATCGGAGCTTGAGGGTAGTTCGACAACTTCGAACTCCTCGTCTCCGGATCCGTTTTTCCAGTCATCGTCATCGTCTTCATCTCCATCGCTACCCGTCACTGTGACGGCTGTTTGTGCTCGCCCATCGGTATCTACTAGACACGCTCCGTTGTTGGTGGCACCAAGAGGTGCAACAAGCGTGGACGTCACTTTACGCTTTGCACGTTTACTTGGCCCAGATGTCGAGACCGAGGAAGAAGCGGTAGCACCATTCACGCTCTTACCGACAATTCGTCGCTCCAACGCAGCTAGAGCGCGTTTTATGCGTTCATTGCCAGGCTGGCTCAGGTTCTTCAGGTGAAGGGGATGTCGAATGCGCGGAGAGGACTTGGTGTTTTCATTTGATGCCACCTTCGACACGCCCAGAGATGGTGACAGTGGTGGAGATCGCGAAGCGGTCCAGAGTGAGTTAGCACTGCGAACAGATTGATCATCGGAGTCAGACACCAACGTTTCCGGCTCAAATGTATCACCACTGGCTTCGTTTTCTCCGTCCTCGCCACCTTCATCGTCGTCATCGGTAAATTCCATCTGCTCGAAATCCGAGTCGCTCCCTTCGTTCTCGGACGATAGCAATTCGTCATGCTCATAGTCACTGTCATCTTCCTCTTCTTCGCTCTCCTTCCGTGACATTCGAGCATCCATAAGAATTGTTGCCTGAGGCATTCGAGCCATGTCACTAGTCGACGTGGTCGCAAGATCGGACGGCATCGCAATCGGCATAAGCTCCTGCAGTTGTGCGCTCCCAAGAGCTGGGTCAGCTGGAGGCAATTCATCATCCACGACTCCACCGTCGCCCTGATTCTTCGGTATTTTATCCTTGGCATCATTGCCTTCATCCATAAAAGATGGCCAGTTGTGCTTGCAAGTTGAGTTCAGGAGTGTAGCGGGGCTTATAAACGACCACGACGAGAAGAACAGAGCTGGATGCAGGTTCTTCGTCCTGCAAGAAACATCCGTCTCCTTCTTCTGGGCAGCACTGATAAGAGACGATATCCCAGGAGCAAAGTCCAAGCCGAAGGAAGACGAGTCACCTGCAGATTGACCCATAATACTGCCCCGCATACCTTGACCAAGTTGCTGCAGCTGTAACGCAGCATCCAGCTTTGCCTTCTCTGCCTCCCCTCTCTGACGCAGCATCCGATGTCGTAACTTGTCTTCTAAATACTCCTTCATAGCTACTGCAAGATCAAGCGAGTCATCTTCGGGTGCCGTCAAACCGATTTCTGCCAGATCAGATCGGAATTTCGCCGCAAGCCGCTCCCATCGCTTCCTGATCTCGAGACGACTGCGATGCGGGAGGTAATTTGTAGCCAGACGAGCAAAGTGATGTTTTTCCTTGTGTAACTCAGCGAGACCACGCGCGATCCGGAGATCCTCTTCAAGTAGCCAGCTGTTGCTGTGATGTTGTGGCTGCGACTTCAAATGCAGCGCTTTGACAGCATTCATCGCAATCTTCGGGCTGGTCAAATACTTGTATCGATGTCGTATATTCTGTTTGGTTTTGGTCGGGAGGAAGTGCTTCTGGATCTTCTCCCACGCGTCCGCCTGCGTACCACATCGTTTGGCTCCGTGAGCCAGTAAAATATCTTCAGTCGTCGAGTAGCCTTTCTTGCTCTTCCGGCGTTTCTTCGCTGTCTGCAGGTGGGTGTCCAGTTGCAGCATTTGCTCCTGGATGGCACGATCACGTTCTTCAAGCGAGCAGCCTCGAGCAAAGCCAGCTGAGAGCTCATCAACCGTTTGCGATCCCACCAGCTCGAACATCGATGGATGGGCCACCGCAGCATGAGCTGCCGTCAGTGACCGCGTCACACGTCTCGCCGCCAAGAGATTCTCAGTGTTGGCACTGCTTCCTTCCGGTCCAGACGGGTCACTAGCTGACGGAGTATTAGCTCCACCAGAGCTCCCTGTCATCGCTGGATTCAATTTCGAGAGCAACTCGTTCTTGTACTTGAGCGCCTTCTCACCTCGCTGCTGCAGCTCCTCAATCATCGCTCGGCACTCCGCCAAGGCCGGTGAAGGTGCTTTGCTCGCCAATAGATGATAACTCTGCAGCAACAGCTGCAAATGCTTATGCATCTGAGATGCCAGTTGAATGCATTGCTCTTGTGTAACAGCTCCTGGTCTCCCACGCAGCACGGCAGGCATACTTTGGGAGAAATTCAACATCATTGGAGACTTGGTAGCAGCTGTGGTGTCCTTCCCTACGTCTCCAGCCACTGAAGCAGCATTCGGCACCACGCCTTCACTGGCATTATTAAAAGTCAAAGGTTCGTCTCGAGTTGAGTCGAAAGTTGGCACCGCTGAAATTGCAGTCGGTAGCTTTGGAAACGTCATGTGCGTCGAGTCCAGAAGCAGATCGGTCAGCTCCTTCTTGGAGATGCCTCGTCGAGTCTCTTCATCTTCGTGGTCGTCCTCTTCTTCTTCCGGTTTGTACTCCTCGTCTTCTTCGTCCAGGAACGATAAGTTCACCTGCTCATTGGGCAGCAAACTCGACAGAAATCGCTGGTATTCTCGGTCTTCCTCTGTCTCTGGTACCGCCTGCAGCAGTCATACGCCCTCGTTAGCTCTAGCTGCGCAGCAGACACACGCATGAACAGTGCGTCAACAATCGCACACTTTTTTTGGCGCCAAATCCAGAAATTGTGATTTGAGGCGAGCTATTTGGCGCCAAAACTTCGTACCAAGTCCAGCGGAGCGTCCGGAAGTGAGGCCTCTAGCGTGTCGATGGGCACGTCCACAAGCGAAAACTTGGTGCGGGTACGACCAGCGATGGTGTCCTCGTCTGTCTCAACGTTGAGAACGTGGGATTCTGTGGTTGGGCCGCTGGGCGCCGTGTCCGCCATAGTGAACTAACTAACCCGCGCTAATAAAGGCTTGGCGCGCGCAAAAGAAATCTGTGACGTGTGGGGAAGTCTGTTCCGAGTCTTTTTTTGTCAGTTATGTACACATTTGGGGGCACCAGCCAAGTACGTCAGCAAATTTGCACCGAAGCGACACAGACCAACATTCACTATGTCTTGTCACTTCAGCTTCGCCATTAATTCGGCCATTGTGCAATTTACCAGCAACTGGTAAAGTTGTTTTCCGAAATGGCCCCCACTACTTCCAACTCGACATCGTCCGCAACTGGCAAAGTCGTGGCGGGAACGCCAAAGGCAGCGAATGCCAAGCCCAGCATCAAATTAGAGACAACTGCTACGCCCATCGACACCAATTTTGAGTTTCGAACAGGCCCCGACTACAAACCTTTCACGCTTGACAGTGCATTCGTGGCCAGCTTGGAGAACCAGACGCCACCATTCGGCTTCAATGGTCTTGGAGAACTTGTGTACATGCGTACTTACTCCCGCGTCAAGGCGGACGGAACTAAAGAACGTTGGTTCGAGACTATCGAGCGTGTGATTAACGGCACCTTTAATATGCAAAAGAAGTGGCTGCAACAGCTGGGTCGGCCTTGGGACGAAGAAGAGATGAACCAGATCGCTCAGGAGATGTACACGCGTATCTTTCAGATGAAGTTCACGCCGCCTGGACGCGGTCTATGGGCCATGGGGTCACCGATCACGGAAGACCGAGGCCTGTACGCGGCACTGAACAACTGTGCCTTCGTGTCGACCGCAGACATACTCGAACTGGAGACCCCGTCCAAGCCTTTTTGCTTCTTGATGGAGGCTGCCATGCTTGGAGTTGGGGTGGGATTTGACACCAAAGGTGCCGGCAAACTGCTCGTACAAGGCTGTGACGAGAGTAAGACGAGTGTCTACGTCATTCCAGATTCTCGTGAAGGCTGGGTGGAGTCCGTGAAAATGCTGCTGGAGGCTCACTTCCTTCACCATCCTGCTTTAAAGCTCGATTACTCTTTGATCCGTCCTGCTGGTGCGCCGATCAAGGGCTTCGGTGGTATCAGATCAGGTGCTGGCTCACTGACTGCTCTGCATGTTGCTATCGAGTCGATCCTCAAGCCTCTCGTGGGAAAGCTGCTGACAGCGCGTGGCATCGTGGACATCATGAACCAGATGGGCGTCTGTGTCGTCTCAGGCAACGTCCGTCGTACTGCTGAAATTGCCTTCGGTGACTATAACGACGAAGAATACGTCGACTTAAAGAACTATGAAAAGAATCTGCGTTCGGCTGGACGTCTAACAACAGCATATTTGCTGATATCGGCATGGATTACCAACCTATAGCTGAGCAAATTGTGCGGAACGGTGAGCCCGGTTTCGCGTGGCTCGACAATATGCGTAACTTCGGTCGCATGAACGGCATCAAGGACGACCGCGATCGCAACGCGTCTGGCGGTAATCCGTGCCTGGAGCAGACGCTTGAGTCGTACGAGATGTGCTGCTTGGTGGAGACTTTCCCGTACAACCACGAAAACCTCGAGGACTTCCTGGAGACGCTCAAACACGCCTACATGTACGCCAAAACAGTGACTCTCGGCCAGACGCAGTGGCCACGAACGAACGAGGTGATGAAGCGGAATCGCCGCATTGGCTGTAGTATGTCTGGCATCGCTCAGTTCATCTCGAGCCGTGGTCTTAACGAGTTTCAGCGCTGGTGTGAGGCGGGTTACGACAGGATCCAGGAAGTGGATAAGCAGATCTCAACTCGGTTTGCCATTCCTCGGTCCATAAAGACCACGTCCATCAAGCCTAGCGGAACTGTATCGCTACTTGCAGGCGCCACTCCAGGCATGCATTACCCTGAAAGCCGCTTCTACATCCGTCGGATGCGTCTGGACAAGCATTCCGACCTTCTAATCTGCACTGCAGCGTGCTGGGTATGAGATCGAACCGGCCTACGAGGCTCCAGACTCCACGTTTGTTGTCTCCATCCCAGTTGATGTTGGTGAAGGGGTACGCACACTGTCGGATGTGTCTGCTTGGGAGCAATTCGCGCTTGCGTCCTTCCTGCAGCGCTACTGGGCAGACAACCAGGTGAGCTGTACAGTGACCTTCGACCCGAAGACAGAAGGGTCGCAGCTTGCACACCTGCTCGATTACTTCCAATACCAACTGAAGGGAATCAATCTGCTGCCGAAACTGGAGCTTGGCGCGTACAAGCAGATGCCGTACGAGGAAATCAATGGCCCCACCTACCACAAGATGAATAAGAGCATTGAACCTCTGCAATTCAGTGTGATCCAGTGCACTGAAACTGTTATGGACGTCCCCGACAAGTTTTGCGAGGCCTGTGTGACTTAATTATTAAACATTTTGACAGATGCAAGTCGTTATCCTGAGATAAACACGTAACCTGTATGACTCACGCTCACAGGATCCATCTTCGTGTGAGCATTTCATTGCGACTTCGAAGATGTCCCATGCTTAGGATCCTTTTCATCTTCAGTTTTATCTTCTCCTCTTGCAAACAGCAAAATGCATACCACGTACAAGCAGTCAATGCTCGACTCACTTCACTTGGCACAGACCGAAAAGCTCTTCAACGTTGCGCTCAACGACCTTCACCATCACGGAGGCAACAGATCACCCAATCACTTCCCCACCAACTCGCAGCTCATTCTTCAATTTGCAGCCTGCGCAGCAGTTGGGCGACTATCGGAACGAGTGCGTCATTTTAGAAGTTACAGCACTGTGCACCATGTCGCTAGTCGACCAGGTCAAGGATTGTCGGTCAAGACATTGCTGGCCAATGGAGTCCAAGCTTTCAACGATCATCTAGCGTCCAAGATTCAAGCAGGTCTGGGCCGTTCCCTGCCTCAGATGGAGGTGAGAGTCAAGAACCTCAGCGTCTCAGCCGACGTCGTTGTTGGTCGACACGAAGACGGACGAGAGCTGCCCACACTCACGCACACCATCAAGACGGCGGCACTCAAACTTTCGTCCTCGCAGCACGTGGTGCACAAGACCATCTTGCGCAACTTCAGCGGCGTGTTCGAGCCCGGTACAATCACGTTGGTACTCGGACAGCCGAGCTCTGGCAAGTCCTCGTTGATGAAAGTGTTGAGTGGTCGTTTCCCTCAGGACAAGCGAGTGACAGTGGAGGGTACAACGGAGTGCCGCAGCTTGAACTAAGCAGTCGACTACCGCAGTTTGTGTCGTACGTGGACCAACACGATGTACACTTCCCGTCGCTCACAGTGATGGAGACGCTCGAGTTCGCTCACGCTTTCACTGGTGGCGAGTTGATGCGTCGAGGTGACGAATTGCTGACGAATGGATCAACGGAGGAGAATTTGGAGGCTTTGAAGACGGTACAGACGCTCTTCCAGCACTACCCTGACATTGTGATCGAGCAACTGGGACTGCAGAATTGCCAGAACACCATAAAATTGGCAATGGAATGCTGCGTGGTGTGTCCGGTGGAGAACGCAAACGCGTGACGACTGGCGAGATGGAGTTTGGCATGAAGTACATGACGCTCATGGACGAGATCAGTACGGGACTGGACAGCGCCACGACCTTCGACATCATCACGACCCAACGCAGTATTGCTAAAACACTGGGCAAGACTGTGGTGATCTCTCTGTTACAGCCGTCGCCGGAGGTGTTTGAGCTCTTCGACAACGTGTTGATCCTAAACGCCGGTGAGGTCATGTACCATGGTCCTCGTGCCCAAGCTTTGCCGTACTTCGAGAGTTTGGGCTTCCGTTGTCCGCCGCACCGTGACACGGCAGATTTCCTGTTGGATCTCGGCACGAATCAGCAGGTAAAATATCAGGATGCTCTGCCTGGAGGAATGACCAGGCACCCTCGTCTTCCAGTCGACTTTGGGCAGGCTTTTCAGCGCTCAGATATTTACCGTGATACTTTAACTCGCTTGGACGAACCCTGGAAAGACGAGCTACTCTCTAACGTCGACGAGTTCATGAAGTTTACACCGGTATTTCAGCAGTCGTTTGTGGAAAATGCTATCACGGTCACGCGCCGTCAGATGATGATCGCGGTGCGAAACCAAGCTTTTATTCGCGTACGAGGCTTCATGGTGATCGTGATTGCTCTGATGTATGGCAGTTTGTTCTATCAGCTGAAGGCTACGAACGTCCAAGTGACAATGGGTGTCCTATTTCAGAGTTTGTTCTTCCTTGGACTCGGACAATACGCTCAGGTCCCAGGGTACTGCAGTATTCGCGGTATTTTTTATAAGCAGCGTCGGGCGAACCACGTTCGTACTTCTGCGTACGCTTTGGCGTGTCAGCTAGCCAAATCCCGTGGGCTGTGGGTGAGACGGTGGTGTTTGGCTCGATAGTATACTGGATGTGTGGCTTTGTTGCCACAGTGGGAAATTTTTTGCTGTATGAGCTGCTAGTGTTCCAGACGCTGATGGCGTTTGCAGCTTGGTATTTCTTCATGGCAGCCGTGACGCCAGATATGCACATGGCAAAGCCTGTGTCGATGATGTCCATCTTTACGTTTGTGGCGTTTGCTGGCTTCGTGATCCCGAAGAACCAGATACCAGACTACTTTGTGTGGATTTACTGGTTAGACCCTATCGCCTGGTGTCTGCGTGCTGTCGCTGTGAGTCAATATCACTCGTCTGCATTCGATTTGTGTGAATATGCTGGGATAAATTACTGTACGGACCACAAGATGCAAATGGGCGAGTACTTCTTGTCGCTGTATGACGTGCCATCCGATAAGAGCTGGATTTGGCTCGGAGTGGTGATGTTGTTTGTCATTTACGCTGGGTTTATGCTGTTGGGCTGGGTGGGCTACGCTTGAGTACAAGCGCTACGAAAGTCCCGAACATATCACCTTGACAACGGAGAGCACAGCACCGGTTGCGACTGATGAATATGCACTTGCCACGACGCCCACTAGCGGCAGAAAGACTCCAGCCATGGGTGTGCAGAGTAGTGAAGAAGTTCGAGCCCGTTGTTATCGCCTTCCAGGACTTGTGGTACTCAGTGCCAGATCCTCACAGCCCGAAGGAATCGCTAACGCTACTCAAGGGTATTAGCGGATACGCGATGCCAGGTTCCATCACGGCTCTCATGGGCTCTACGGGTGCTGGTAAGACGACGCTCATGGATGTGATTGCTGGTCGGAAGACTGGAGGCACCATTCAGGGCAAGATCCTGCTCAATGGCTACGAAGCGAATGATCTGGCCATTCGACGCTGCACAGGCTACTGCGAACAAATGGACATCCACTCGGACGCATCAACTATCCGCGAAGCATTGATCTTCAGCGCCTTCCTTCGCCAGGACAGCTCGGTACCCGACAGTCAAAAGTACGACTCGGTGAAGGAATGTCTTGAACTTCTGGATCTACAGAGTGTAGCGGACGAGATTGTACGTGGCAGTCCAACAGAACGCATGAAGCGTCTCACGATCGGTGTGGAGCTGGCTGCTGACCCGAAGGTGTTGTTCCTGGACGAGCCCACAAGTGGACTGGATGCACGCTCGGCCAAGCTCATCATGGACGGAGTACGCAAAGTTGCAGACACTGGTCGCACCATCGTGTGCACAATCCACCAACCTTCCACTGAGGTGCTTATGCTTTTCGACAAGCTCTTGCTGCTGAAACGTGGAGGTCAGACGGTGTTCTTTGGCGATCTGGGCAAGCGAGCGCAGAAGATGGTGGACTACTTCGAGGCGATTCCGGGCGTGACACCTCTTCGTGAAGGCTACAACCCGGCTACGTGGATGTTGGAGTGCATCGGTGCACGTGTGATCCACGTGCACGACAACCCGGTGGACTTCGTCGACGTGTTCAACTCTAGCAAGATGAAGCATGAGATGGATATGCAATTATCATCAGAGGGTAAGAGTGTGCCAGTACCCGGCTCAAGTGAAGTGACGTTTGGTAAAAAAACGAGCAGCAAGTTCTTTGATGCAGATAAAAGCTCTGGTGAAACGCTTCATGGATTTGTACTGGCGAACACCGTCCACGAATCTCACGAGACTGGCGATTATGCCTCTAGTTGCCTTGGTGTTTGGTCTTGTCTACGTCGGCACGGACTACACGTCGTATCAAGGGATCAATCAATGCTGGCGTGGGGATGGTTTTCCTCACTTCGTACCTCACTGGCGTGGTATCCTTTAACAGCGCCTTGCCAATTACGTCTGAAGATCGACCAGCATTCTATCGGGAACGTGAGGCGCAAACGTACAGCGCCTTTTGGTATTTTATTGGCTCCACTGTGGTCGAAATCCCTTACGTCTTCGGGTCGATGCTGCTTTACACGATCATTTTCTATTGGATGGTGGGCTTCAGTGGCTTCGGCACTGCAGTTCTCTACTGGATTAACACGTCGTTGATGGTGCTACTACAGACTTACATGGGCCAGTTACTCATCTATTCCATGCGCAGCATTGATGTCGCAGCGCTAGTGGGAGTGATGATTTACTCTATTACAATCCTGTTTTACGGCTTCAATCCGCCAGCGAGCGACATTCCTGCTGGTTATCAATGGTTGTACACGATCACCCCGCAACGCTACTCCGTTGCTATCCTCGCTGCTCTCGTGTTCAGCAAATGCGACAATCCCCCCACGTACGACACCGACGCGCAGCAGTATGTGAATGTTGGCGCTGATCGTGGCTGTCAGCCCATGTCGAATCCACCGACTAATATTGACCATATCACTATCAAGGAATACGTCGAGGCCACGTTCGAGTACAAGCACGACGAGATCTGGCGAAACTTTGGCATTGTGCTTGTCTTTTTTGTCATTCTGCGTGTGATGGCTCTACTTTCGTTGCGCTTTATCAACCATCAGAATAAGTAAAAACGCTACACCGTTGCTGACTTTTACATGTAGATGTACGAGCGATATCTATTGCGTTTGCAGACTATTCCTGCTCCAAAATGCTCGGCATCAACACGAAGTGTAGGTTAGGCAGTTGACTCCGTGCCACGCGCGCCCATCTCCCTCGGGAGTCAACCTTTTAGGTGGTCGAGCTCGATTACTCCTAATAACCTTTCACAATCCATATGTGATCATATGTATTATCGCAGCTATATCAAATACACAGACACAATGCAGTGATATCACCAATATCACGTCATCATTTATCACTTATACAATTACCAGCCAGAAAGAATGATGGTCACTCCAGTTGTGCTTCAACGTTAGTCTCTACTCATTCTTCAATTCTCTCCGTAGCTTACACATCGAGCGATGGATCCTTTAAAGCCGGACGACGCGTCGGCCAAGGCTCTTATGGCCAACGGGTCCCAGGCTTTCAACGACTATCTAGCGTCCAAGATCCAAGCAGGTCTGGGCCGTTCCCTGCCTCAGATGGAGGTGAGAGTCAAGAACCTCAGCGTCTCAGCCGACGTCGTTGTTGGTCGACACGAAGACGGACGAGAGCTGCCCACACTCACGCACACCATCAAGACGGCGGCACTCAAACTTTCGTCCTCGCAGCACGTGGTGCACAAGACCATCTTGCGCAACTTCAGCGGCGTGTTCGAGCCCGGTACAATCACGTTGGTACTCGGACAGCCGAGCTCCGGCAAGTCCTCGTTGATGAAAGTGTTGAGTGGTCGTTTCCCTCAGGACAAGAGAGTGACAGTGGAGGGAGACATCACGTACAACGGAGTGCCGCAGCTTGAACTAAGCAGTCGACTACCGCAGTTTGTGTCGTACGTGGACCAACACGACGTACACTTCCCGACGCTCACAGTGATGGAGACGCTCGAGTTCGCTCACGCTTTCACTGGTGGCGAGTTGATGCGTCGAGGTGACGAATTGCTGACGAATGGATCAACGGAGGAGAATTTGGAGGCTTTGAAGACGGTACAGACGCTCTTCCAGCACTACCCTGACATTGTGATCGAGCAACTGGGACTGCAGAATTGCCAGAACACCATAAAATTGGCAACGGAATGCTGCGTGGTGTGTCCGGTGGAGAACGCAAACGCGTGACGACTGGCGAGATGGAGTTTGGCATGAAGTACATGACGCTCATGGACGAGATCAGTACGGGACTGGACAGCGCCACGACCTTCGACATCATCACGACCCAACGCAGTATTGCTAAAACACTGGGCAAGACTGTGGTGATCTCTCTGTTACAGCCGTCGCCGGAGGTGTTTGAGCTCTTCGACAACGTGTTGATCCTAAACGCCGGTGAGGTCATGTACCATGGTCCTCGTGCCCAAGCTTTGCCGTACTTCGAGAGTTTAGGCTTCCATTGTCCGCCGCACCGTGACACGGCAGACTTCCTGTTGGATCTTGGTACGAACCAGCAGGGTAAGTATCAAGATACGCTGCCTACGGGCATGACGAAGCATCCTCGTTGGCCAGCCGAATTTGGAGAAATTTTCCAGGAGTCAAGGATTTATCACGATACGCTTGCGCGTCTTGATGAGTCATTGCAGCAGGACTTGACAGATAATGTCAAGACGCGCATGGACCCCATGCCAGAATTTCACCAGTCGTTCCAAGAGAACACGTTGACTATCTTCAAGCGGCAAATGATGGTCATGCTGCGCAATGTCGCCTTTATCCGAGGAAGAGGCTTCATGGTGATCTTGATTGGACTTCTGTACGGTAGTACGTTCTACCAGTTGAAGGCTACAGATGCTCAAGTTGTGATGGGAGTGTTGTTCCAAGCTGTTCTGTTCCTCGGACTGGGCCAAGCTGCTCAAATCCCCACGTACTGTGACGCTCGCCCCATTTTCTACAAGCAACGTGGCTCCAATTTCCTCCGTACTACCTCCTATGTCATTGCCAATTCGGCCAGTCAAATCCCATGGGCTGTAGCGGAGACGATCGTGTTCGGGTCGCTGGTCTACTGGATGTGCGGTCTCAAGTCGTCCGTGAAGGAGTTTGTGGTCTTTGAGGTCCTGCTACTGTTGACGATTCTAGCCTTTGCAGCCTGGTTCTTCTTCTTGGCAGCCATTTCTCCAAACCTCCACATCGCCAAGCCCTTGTCCATGGTATCTGTAATGTTCTTCGTGGTCTTTGCGGGATTTGTCGTCCCCAAGAGCGAGATGCCGGATTATTTCATCTGGATCTACTGGATCGATCCTATCTCGTGGTGTCTTCGCGGTATTGCCGTGAACCAGTACCGAGCGGATGAGTTTAACGTGTGCGTATACAATGGCGTTGACTACTGCAGCACGTACCAGATGCAAATGGGCGAGTACTTCTTGTCGTTGTACGATGTTCCGTCATCCAAGAGCTGGGTTTGGCTCGCTGTGGCCTTCCTGCTAGCGACCTATGTCGTGTTCCTGTTCTTCGGTGTCTTGGTGCTTGAATATAAGCGCTATGAGAGCCCGGAGCACATCACCTTGACAACTGAGAGCACAGAACCGGTTGCGACTGATGAATATGCACTTGCCACGACGCCCACTAGCGGCAGAAAGACTCCAGCCATGGGTGTGCAGAGTAGTGATAATGTCGCTCTCAATGTCCGAGCCACCACCAAGAAGTTCGAGCCCGTTGTAATCGCTTTCCAGGACTTGTGGTACTCAGTGCCAGATCCTCATAGCCCGAAGGAATCGCTAACGCTACTCAAGGGTATTAGCGGATACGCGATGCCAGGTTCCATCACGGCTCTCATGGGCTCTACGGGTGCTGGTAAGACGACGCTCATGGATGTGATTGCTGGTCGGAAGACTGGAGGCACCATTCAGGGCAAGATCCTGCTCAATGGCTACGAAGCGAATGATCTGGCCATTCGACGCTGCACAGGCTACTGCGAACAAATGGACATCCACTCGGACGCATCAACTATCCGCGAAGCATTGATCTTCAGCGCCTTCCTTCGCCAGGACAGCTCGGTACCCGACAGTCAAAAGTACGACTCGGTGGAGGAATGTCTTGAACTTCTGGATCTACAGAGTGTAGCGGACGAGATTGTACGTGGCAGTCCAACAGAACGCATGAAGCGTCTCACGATCGGTGTGGAGCTGGCTGCTGACCCGAAGGTGCTGTTCCTGGACGAGCCCACAAGTGGATTGGATGCACGCTCGGCCAAGCTCATCATGGACGGAGTACGCAAAGTTGCAGACACTGGTCGCACCATCGTGTGCACAATCCACCAACCTTCCACTGAGGTGTTTATGCTTTTCGACAAGCTCTTGCTGCTGAAGCGTGGAGGTCAAACGGTGTTCTTTGGCGATCTGGGCAAGCGAGCGCAGAAGATGGTGGACTACTTCGAGGCGATTCCGGGCGTGACACCTCTTCGTGAAGGCTACAACCCGGCTACGTGGATGTTGGAGTGCATCGGTGCAGGTGTGAGCCACGTGCACGACAACCCGGTGGACTTTGTCGACGTGTTCAACTCTAGCGAGATGAAGCACGAGATGGATATGCAATTATCATCAGAGGGTGTGAGTGTGCCAGTTCCGGGATCCACAGAGCTGGTGTTCGCGAAGAAACGTGCAGCCAACTCGTGGACGCAAATGACGGCGCTGGTTGAGCGATTCATGAACTTGTACTGGCGTACTCCATCGTACAACTTGACTCGATTTGCCATTGCGCCACTTCTTGGCTTGCTCTTCGGCTTGATCTACGTCAGCGTGTCGTACACCTCGTACCAAGGCGTCAACGCCGGTGTTGGAATGGTCTTCATGACGACGTTATTCAATGGTGTAGTTGCCTTCAACAGCGTTCTACCGATCTCGTCGCAAGACCGCGAGGCGTTCTACCGTGAAAGAGCAGCACAAACGTACAACTCGCTCTGGTACTTCGTTGGTTCTACCGTCGCTGAGGTCCCCTACGTCTTCGGCTCCATGCTGCTGTACACGGTCATCTTTTACTGGTTCGTTGGCTTTACTGGGTTCGGGACTGCAGTTCTCTACTGGATCAACACGTCGTTGTTGGTTCTACTGCAGACTTATCTCGGTCAACTGCTGGTGTACGCGCTGCCGAGTGTGGAGGTTGCAGCTCTGTTGGGAGTCATGCTCAACTCGATTCTCTTCCTCTTCATGGGCTTCAACCCGCCGGCCAACGCCATTCCGTCCGGCTACAAGTGGCTGTACACGATTACTCCCCAGCGCTACTCGCTTGCAATCCTTTCTGCCCTCGTGTTCAGCAAATGTGACGATCTCCCCACGTACGACACGGCCACGCAGCAATACGTGAATGTCGGCAGTGACGTTGGCTGTCAGCCGATGACAAACCCACCCGTGAGCATTGACCACATCACGATCAAGGAATACGTTGAATCCGTCTTCGAGTACAAACACGATGAGATCTGGCGCAACTTCGGGATCGTCCTCGCGTTTATTGTGGGCATTCGCTTCCTCTCTCTGCTTTCGCTGCGCTTCATCAACCACCAAAAGAGATAGGTACAGTACATTCTCTCATGGCGGACTTCACGTCGGTTATTACGTTCTTGATACACGTACGTCTGCACTACTACTACGACATACACCTTGCGTACTTGCTGTTGCTTCTGTGAATTGGCTTTTAGCTGAAACACAAAACTACAAGTGCGAAGCTCTACATGAACAAGATACGGCAACACGTGGCAGCGAAATACTCGCAGCTTGAGAGCCACGTTGCACTTTTTCACGGATCGGCAAGCACAGCTACCGTCGATATGGGGAACTGGTGGTCCAAGCGCGCTGTGTATCTAGGTTTGGCAGGTGGCTCGACCTCTTCCGCAGCCTCTCTAGTCGCTTCAGAACTTGAGCCTGCATCACCTCCCTCCTGATTCGTATGCTCGTGCTGACTTGCCTCAGTTGACGACACATTTGCAGGAGAAGCATCTTGTGTCACTGTGCGCGGCTGAGCCTCTGCGTCCACCTCATCCTGCTGTTTCTCGTGTTCTCGGCCGATAACTGAGCTATTGTCACTGCGTTGCTGTGGCTTCACTACAAAATCATATACCACCACAAATATTAGACCTCAAGACTACTACAGTGATATTCTCCACACCGAATCTTACAAAACGCATCCGTAGCAGCCTTGGCATCTTTTGGGAGATTAACGAAGCCCACGGACGAGCCGATTGTACCTCGACACACCGACGGCAAGCGATGCAAATACCCATGACCGACTTCAGCTCCTAGAACACCGTCACCTCCCCAGCGCTCAGTCGGTACGATCGACACGATGCGAACTTGATCGTCCAGCGAGCTACGCCATACATGTATATCCCATATTTTCAGTTAAGAACTCTCTCCCGAAAAACTCATTTCCCAAACATGCACCCACTTGTAGACGTAGCACTGAAAGGACCCATCCAAAGCGTCCAGGATCTCGTCATGCAGGTCCTCAGAATCCGCAAAGACGCGCTCAGGTGTGCCCAATAGATAGTCGGAATCTGCTCGAAGCCCCGCCCGCTCTGCCGGCGACGAATCTTCCACATTCTACACAGAACGATTAGAATTATTGTGGCAGCTTACAATTATTATGGCGAAATGGCTACTTACGAGGACGTGCAGCAGTTGGTCTTCCGCTCCTTCGTATGAGTCGAATCGAATAGTTACGCCTAGCAGGCCCTTTCCTGGCCACTTGCGACTGGGCGTGAGCTGCAGCTCCCGCGTGGTTTGTGCCTTGACGTTAAACACTCTAAGCTGCATAGGGCGATCTTCACTCTGCGCGATGAGCTCCATAAGCGTTGCATCTTTCGTGTCCTACATTATGCAGATGACTGGCATTAGGCATGATGGTCCAATAAGGCACAATAAATGCCCAGATTTTATTAACGCACGAGTCGGATGCCATTCGCTTCGAGGATGAAGTCGAAGAAGCTTACAAAGCCCACAGCAGACGACGGTGACTGCTCCTGAATGCCCAGCACACGGAATCCGCAGCACTCGCCACCTTCGGTGGTGCCGTCGTCTCTGCTGTCATGGCGTGGTTCCTCCTCCCCAGACAACGTAGAGTTCTCGTTTCCCATTTTGAGATTTAGGACTGTGAGCAACGTTTCTGAATTACGGGTTCATGGTACTATTTTAATACCGGTAATTGTACAGTACCTGTACTAAAGTATTTAAGTAATAATAAATTTATTAATACTACTGTAGTACTAAACTTCTAGTAGTACTAGCTGTAAATAGAAGTAGTACTACGTAGTACTAGTACTACTTAGGGGCGGTACAGTGCATCATATTTTGGTCTGATTGGAATGCTACGTATAATTGGATCGACAGGCAGCTTAGTTGTGCGCAGTTCTCGGATTAAAAATGTCTCCGCACGGTGTGCTAGGAAGAACGAAAGTTATTAGATAGATTTGTTGTTTCGTCACTGAACGTACGCGCTACTAGCTGTAGCAAAAGGTTTCTAGAACTAAGCGGATGGAAGATCAGAAAATAAAGCATAATTCTGCTCAACGCACGAAGGTACACGACCGCACGCGGTGCGAATCGCCATCCTCCGCACTCATACAAGAGGTGTCAGAATATAAAGCTATTCATCACTTATCCCAACGGCACTCAGCATTCGCTGGACATGCAAATAAACACTTGTGTGGACAGGAGAGTTCCTCAGAAAAAACAGCCAGTTTATATCCTCATTCTTCTTCGGACGGTAATTCCAAAACAAAGTTGGACATCACTGGAACCTCCTTGCGATATCGATAATCCCTGCACTCGAAACATGCCTGCTCGCCTGTAGTAATTGTGGGAATGCCGATCTAATTGGCGTGTCAGGTCAGCGCACACGTTCAACACCAGTGATTATCGCACACTCTGATTGGCTTGCGAAATGTAATTACGTCTGTAAAAACAAACGCAATGTGGTGTAGTGTACGCAATTAAAGTTTTGCGAACAGTACAGTACAGAGCAGTTCCTCACAATGGATTAATTAACCTTTCGTGGCGCAAAAATTGCTCCTCTTTAAAAAAACCTTCGTGTGTTAACGAGAGGAGCTCAATATGCCGGTTGGAACAAAACAGTATTGTTATATCACCTCATATTCGAGCGATACGCTGCCTACCGCTCGAATGCTGGAGTCAATGACGTAGCGAGTATCAAAGCACGCGCGACGACCACGCTTAGAATACCAGAGTCACGCTGCACTGTGCAAATTGCAAGCTGGAGCGCAGACGGCTATGAGGGCGTTCCAATGGCGACAGTCACGCTGCACTGTGCAAATTGTAAGCTGGACCGCAGACGGCTATGAGGGCGTTCCAATGGCGACGGGCGCAGGGATTCGAAGCGCCCGTCGCACTGCGAAAGGGCAAACGCCGTTTCGGTTCGTGCTGGTGCAAGATGATATGAGTTTCATGTTGCCATGTTTTCTTCTTTAGCCGAGAAGGCAAGAGCAATCCTGTGCGGGGCTTGCTAGGACAGTCGCTTGCATGTCTTGCTGCTTGGATCAATCTCATTGTGTTGAACACGGTCTTCAAACGCGCACAGTTGCTGTTCCCGTCGTGCAATCCAGCAATCGCACTCTCGTGACCTTGGCTGGACGTCTTATTCACGCTGATCGCGCATCTTGCTGCTCATGTCCATTGTCCAGTACTGTACCAGCACGCGACACGGAGTCTGCAAACCGACGCTGCCACTCGATTGAAGCGATTGAACTTCCACTGCGGGCAATCGTCTCAAGTCCGTACGGCTCGCGCGTGACAGCGTGCCCACCATCTGTGAGCCATTGCATCTTGTTGTGCGTTTGACGGAGGCCGGCATCAACACTTTACCGACACAGGGTTGGTACTGTACCGGTACGTTTGCACTCTGATGGTTCCAACTTGCGGCATTCCAAAGGTACCAACCTGGCACACTGTGCCGCACAGAACTTGCTTACAATGCCACAACGTACCCATTTGCTCGATTGTCTCTGTTTTGCTTCGTCTCCAGTCGCACAGCAACCAACGGCGGCATTCACGCAAATATTTTCAAATCGCGAGTCGAGCAAACAACTTGAATTCAGTATGGACAAGTTTTTCGCTGCGCATCGACAAACGGTGCCCAACTCCAAATTTCGCACTTCAAACTCGCGTTCCGCGAATTTGCCGATTAGCTTGCCTTCAACTCAGTGTGGACCTCTGAGTCGACAGCAACAGTTCCCATGCTGCCGCACCAAAGCAGCGTAAATTTTGATACATGTATTTTTGCGGAGAGAACAACGGCTCCAAACGAGGATCCGTTTCACACACGGCGCCCTGGCGATGAAAAGAGCAGGTTTCAGCCTTATTCGCTCGCCACGTCACACCACGGCAGCTCTTGACGCAGTATGAAGACTGCGACTGAAAAGTGAATGTAGTTGATGTGCTGGAGTTCTCTGCGGCAGCGAGGGCCAGCCATTCTTACAAACTCAGGGATGTACAAAAATGCAGGTGCACTGCCTTGATGTTCCATATACCGATCCCTCTGCCAATTTTCACTTGCACTCCAGATCGTCCGTTTGACCTTAAGGAGTGATGGTCAAGATCTGCGACGGCCGTTTCCCGTCGCCAACGGTACCCATCTAGTGAGAGCCGCTTTCCTTCCAGCATAGGCTCGCTCATTCATACATTTGCTCGCTTCCCCGTACGCAGGACGATCGATTCACACCGGACCAATATGATGGCAGCCAAGCTGGACGACTACGTGATCCAGCGGCGACTTGCGCCTGCACTGTTCGGCGATGTGCTGCTGTGCCAGCACAAGCCGACAGGCAACATGGTGGCTGTGAAGCGCGTACTTCAGAGCGCCGCCAACGCGCAGCTCACGCTTTCGAGCAATAAGAAGGTGCGCGAGAACGTGGCTCTCGAACGCGCTCTGTATCACCAACTTAACCGCGTCGGCGGCCACCGCAACCTTCTCAAATTACGCGATGAGATCGAGTTCGATGGATATCTGTATCTCGTTTCCGACTTCTGTGCACGTGGCGAATTGTACGAGCTCGTGAGCTCCACCGAGGACGGCAAGCTACCACTACCCGTCATTACGAAATACATGCGCCAGATCGCCAGTGGCGTTCAATTTTTACACGCCAATGGTTTCGCACATCGCGATTTGTCACTGGAGAACGTCTTGGTCACAGACGATGATCAATGCCAAGTGTGTGACTTCGGCCTCGCCGCCTCAACAGCCAAGCCCAGTCGCGAGACTGTAGGCAAACTCTTCTACATGGCACCAGAGGTGCTGGCTGGCGTGCAGTACGACGCCACAAAGGCCGACGTCTGGTCACTTGGCGTCATGCTGTTCATCATGCTTATCGGAGCTCCTCCCGTTGAAACGGCGTCGTCGTCGGACGCCAGATTCAGACTCATTACTAACAAGGGAATCAGGAAACTCATCGACCGCTGGGGGCTCACCAAGGAGCTGCCGGCCGCCTCTATTGACCTCATCGCCGATATGCTCGAAGTCGACCCGGAGCAGCGCATCTCGATGGCCGAGGTGGTGTCTCACCCGTTCTTGCTGCGATCCAGCTCCATCGCTTCGCCGCAGCGTGTCGTCGCGCCTAAGATACAGCAGACGCGTGTCGCCTCTCCGGCTAAGCAGACACCACAGCCAACGGCTTCGCATTCGTCGGCGTCCATGTACTCGACCCGTCCCGAGTCGGACGGCATCGAGCGCAGCGGCTGCCGGCTGCTATTTCACAAGATTCACCGCTTCTTCTCGCGTCGTCACAACAAACGCGTGATGGCTGTGCGCCGAGGCCCTGGCTCATCAAAGCGAGCGCATGCCAAGCGCTTCGCGAACGCCGCCTGAAGGTGGCTCGGCCGTCGTTTACGTGGGCTCGCCGAGCTCGTGGCTGGTATCAACCGGCCACATCGCAATAGCCTGTCCGATGGCCGCAGGAGGCTGGACGTTGTGTATTTATTCGGGGCTGGAGGAGTCCCTGTCCATCTGTAAAAGGAATTACCAACAAGTACTAAAAGTAGTCTAGATATACGTATGTAAGCATAAGCTCAAAATTCATCCAACTTAGAGTAACGCATGCCACAGTACTACCACGCATGTACTAATACATGTAGTACGTGTGTATGCTGCAGGACGTCCTGTCAGGAAATGTTCATGTGCTCTGTTGACGCTGTTTCGATCGACAGGGCTACTCCTAAAAAGCGTAAAAATGTCATGGTCTCTTTGAAATACCAGAGTGCTTAGTTCATGTAAGTTCTGTAGTAGCGTTGCATGTACTACGAAGGGAGGCGAAGCTTAATGAATAAAAAAGCTTTATACAACGATAGAATTAGTTTTAGTAGCAATGGGCACCGCGTTGTTCGCACTCCAGGGCTGAAAGGTTTGCGGCTGATGATAATAGCTGGCCTGATCGTCCTCGTGTTCGTACAGACGACTGCGTGCTTTACAGTAGCACGCGCAAACCGACACAACAGCGACCACGAAGATCAGCACACAGCAGCAAATTGCCAGCACAATCTGCCATGTACTCAGGAACCTTTCTTTTTCTACACAACAAACAATTAGCAAGTCTTGCCTTTAAGACTTAGCCGAGCCAGAGCCATATTTCCTCACCTTCGCTGTCCGCGTGACTGCCTGTTGCATCTCCCACGCCGTCTTTTGAGGTAGAGTTGCTGTTATCGGTAGATGTGGAGGTGCTGTTTGAGCCCGTTGTGGATGATGAAGTTGATGACGAGCCTGCACATGTGCACAAACAACAGAATTTAGTGCCAGGGAGCAGTCAAGTATTTGGTGTTCGTGTCCTACCTGCAGTGGGGGATGGCGCAGAGGTGGTTGGCACGGGAGCTGTTGTAACTGTACTGGGGGAAGGCGCAGTGGCCGGCGCGGGCGACGGCGTGACAGTCGCAGGTCTAGGAGTAGCGTTCGCCGATCCGCTAGTGCTAGTCGCCGATCCGGTCGAGTAGTCGCAGGTTCCACAGTCTGTGCCGTACGTGCACGTGCCGCTATTGTTAATGGCGAAGCCGTAGACGACGCCTTGTGTCTTCTCGTAGCATTGACCGCAGTTGCAGCCTCCTGCTCCTGTGCGCGCTCCCTGTTGCGAGCCACTACAGGTGCAGCCGGGTGTTCCACCGGGCCCGAATCCCGTCAGCACTGTCGAGTAGCAGATATCAGCGCACGCCGCTGCGTTCACTGCAGCCAGGAAAGCGACGCATTAGACCACCCGCGCACCCCGACTAGAGAGACACCCCGGGAACTTACCCTGCACAAACCACGTCGAGATCGCCACATTTGCGAGCAGTGCCGCGAAGATTGGCCACGACCGCATACTTCCAGGTGTGGCCTCGCCGGCTGTTGTCTTCTCGGGAGTTGCGATGCAGTCAAGGTTGAAGACGCGACTATCAACGGACAGCGCCACATTTCAGTCATCCTCGAGACCTTGTGGTGCTCGGTCGCACTTCCGCGATCTAACAGTAATGGACATTTATAGCCTACGCGGACAAGACCCAAATCTGAGCCAGATTAGGACCGGTCGTGCCACGACCACGACTGTCGGCACGCACATTTTCGACAAAGGCCACGCCCAACTAAGCCAATTTATCTAATGTACAGCTTTAAGGGCAAAGTGGCCCGATTCCTGGCGCGGTGCGCTGTGAGTGCGAGGTGAGTTAAGCCATTTTCAAGCAGCCATAGCAGCGCTTGTTTGTTATCGGCTATTCGCTGACGGCTGTCATACGAGAAGCTTAGGTGTGACGTCGTTTTCGCAGTGATCACGCCGGGCATGTTGTCGGTGCTGCGCAACAACTCGGATATTCGAGTTGTTCACGACCAGGTTATTTATGCTGCAAATTAAACACCGAACAAAGTATATGCATCCCCATGACTGGGAGCTACGACGACCTCTGAGCCATGCCGCTAAGGATCATATCTGGTGCGACGCAGCTAACAGTTGTAACACATAATTGCTTCGCATTATCCATCGCACGGATGCGCCATACAACATCGGCGCCTTGGTCGCGCATTTGGAAGGCGCAGGCCGCTTTGAGGTTTCTGGTAGCTCTTCCAGATTGAGAAATGAATGTTCCATTCCATTCTTAGCGCGCCAAAGCTGTCACAGTTACCACAGCTACTACAGTCCATGTATTACTCGAGGCACCGGCACTCCCACGCCATGTCACTCCCTCTTCAACAGAAACATTTTTTAGACATGCCCAATACTTCTGAAGTCATGAAGTCTCCCTCCATCCTCGCAGAAGAAGAACTCGGAGCTATCCAGTCGAACACTGCAAGCACTCCAGCTTGAAGCTTGCGTTTCGACAGTGACAAGTGTCGAACATCAACTACTGAAGTCTGAAACGTTAAGGCTTGAGGTGACTCGCGACGTGGCCAACGCGATCCAAGAGATAAAAGTGCGACTTTGGTACAAGTGGAGAATGCGCGCTGCGACGAAGCGAATACGCCGGCAATAACGTCTGAGGCTGTCAACCTCCCACTGTACGTGGCTGGTCACCAAAATCCGCTCCCACGTGCGCTTCGATGCTCTTCCAAGGAAGGTCATGCCGCTGATTTACACAGCTGCCGAAGCCGCCGAACTGCTAGGGGCCGTAGCTTTCACGCCCATTCATTCACCCAGCTCATTTCGGAAACCGTAGTGCCACCCCGAGAACGACCCTTTCTGAACTGTGCCCCTCCCGGAGACTTCAGTTCGAAGGCGTCCACCCATCAGCTATCTTCATTCCCCAATTGCCATCGCTAAGAACAAGGCTCTAAGTGCCAGAACCCAGCTACCCTGTTCATTGTCCTACGCATTGCGCACTAATTCCAACATGGGACTTCTCCGCACCTACATGGACGCGATGTTGACCGCCACCTTCTCGTCACGTGGATCCTCTGCGACCACACCCAAGAAGGGCGACAAGAAGACCCTGCAATCCCCTCAGTCCTCCCCAAGATCTACGAACTCTACACCTTCACCAGTCTCTACTATCATCCGATCACCGCCCAAACGGTTGTCCGACTTCAAGGTGATGGAGACTCTGGCACCGGCACTCTTCGGTGAAGTTCTCTTATGTCTCGACAGCAAAACCGGTCGCCAATTCGCCGTCAAGCGTGTGGATCTCCGCTGCGCTCGAGCTCAAGTGACCATTGGCAAACAGATCCGAGTGGTTGAAAGTCTGCAGCAGGAGCGTGCTGTCCACCACAAACTCATAGCTGCACAGACCACCAATCTGCTGCTACTGGAGGAGGAGGTGCAATACGGCGGCAGTTTGCACCTCATTTTCCCCTACTGCTCAGGTGGTGACCTCTTCGACGTGGTGCGACACAGTCTACTCGACGGTAGACTACCTGAAGCCACTGCACGTCGCTTCTTGGGCGATGTCGTGCGTGGTTTGCTGTGCTTGAAGCAAAATGGCTTGGCACACCGCGATATTTCGCTGGAAAATGTGGTGCTGGATGCCGAAGGCGTTTGTCACGTGTGCGATTTCGGTTTGGCCACGCAACATGGCAAGTTGCTGGCTCCCGGTAGAGTAGGCAAAGCTTGGTACATGGCCCCAGAGGTTTTCGCAGCCAAGGAGCCGTACGACCCGCTTCAGGCGGATATCTGGTCTCTTGGTGTACTGCTGGCAATTATGCTGGCAGGAGCCCCACTTGTGGAGAAACCCACAAGGGACGACCGTCAGTTCTGTATCCTGAGTCATGGTGGCGGTGTACGGAAGCTGCGTCGGGTTTTCCCTCGCAAACTGTCTGAAGAAGTCTGGGACCTCATGGAGAAGCTGCTCACTACGGATCCGCACAGGCGCCCGACACTGGAACAGGTGGCCCAACACCCCTTCCTATCGTCAGACTATCATCGCAGTGTCAACTACGGCAAGCGCATTTCCAGATAAAACACAACATGGACTTGTAAAGCCTGTCTTCATAATAAAACGTCGTATATTAGCAGGGGAAGAAAACGTTCAATACATGTCGGTCCATCGATGTCCTCGTTCTCTCTTTTTTTCTACCTCTTACAAGAGGTTCCATAGATTTTTTTTTGTCTCTATGTCTGTCTCGTAGCTGGAGGCTGCTGCGTCGATAGGAAGTACGCGAAAGCTAGGAACACCAGTGCCCGCCAGCCGAAGAAAGCCGTAAGTAGAGCCGCCACCGCCAGGTGGATCTTCTGCACGGGTCTAGCTGGCAGCCCGAGCACTGCAGGTATAGTCACAGTGCCCTCCAGCCCCACTTGTTGCGCCAATCCCTGCAATGGTGAGGCCCCAGCTGCCGGGGCTGCCCTACCTGGAGGCGGTGCAGCTGCTGACCCGCCGCCGTGTACGGAGCCAAAGCGTCTTTGAGGCTGCTGATTTTGCTGAGGCTGCTGACGAGCGCGCACCCGGGGGTCATCGTCCGGTACGATTTCTCCATTGATAATGTGCACCATGTTCGCTTGATGGCGGGGTGTGATCCTTGTTTGACAGTTGGCCCACGTGGCAAAAGAAAGCTGGAGATCTCCTAAGATGGAACAGGAGCTGTATGAGAGGACTAGGAGATAGAAATGGATCAGGATTGGCAGAAAAAACGTTTTTTTTACGTAACGATATTCGATTGGCGGGAAAAGGGCAAGTTGAAGTGAGCAACTGTTACAAGTGCACAGAGCGATGGGAAATGTGCTCGTTGGCGTATTGCAGCCCACGTTGACGTCGTTTAGCAGCGGAATCCGAGAGCGTAGCACTTGCACCTCGGACTCGAAAGGCTGGCAAAGTGTTGGCCCGACCTCGCTGGTCGAAAAACATTATTTTCTCCTGCATCAACACGTGGATGCCTTCTTTCGCCAGAATACTGCGACGGTGAGCAACGGGACTTCGAGGTGTTCCACATTGTGAAGATGAAGAAACAGGAGACGCTGGAGAGCTGTAGGACCTTGGAGACGCCCGTGGCGATCGATGCAGTTGTTTTTTGCCCGTGACAAGACTGGCGCGTCTAGGAATCTGAGGTGAGACCTCACTGGGTGTTGCTGGTGATAACTCTCGACGCGCTTTAAGTACAATGGCAGCGATATTACTACTTGTTAAGAGAGCGATTGGCTCAATGGATTCGTCCCTTTCGTTGGTGCTCAGCATTGCTCGACTGACTGCGTCACGGACTTTTTGCACCCCAACACGTCGTAATAACAACTGTAACATATCAATTGATACGAGTGCCCGCACGTAAGGCATATTCGTGGTCGAAGATTGGGCTTTACTCAGCGCTGCGTGGACTCGTTTCAGCTTGTGTACTGTAACATCGTCCGGTGTGAGAGCCAAAGAGTCAAATTGGCCCCGTGAAAGGTGCTTGAGCATTTCTATGAGCTCGAGGTCGTCACTATCTCGCTCTTCCAGTTCCTGTTCTTGCCGTACTGGAGCCATTTCAATACTTGATCTTGAGCTTGATAATTTGTCCACAAACGAGGTATTGATGGCATGGGGGATTGTTTTTGGGATCTTGCCATTGTCGGCATCTTCATGACCCTCAGCTTCTTCATTTAGCGTTGGAAGAGTGTTCCCTGGAGTTTTTGGGCTCCGCAGGTTATTTCGCATGGTCGCTTCGCTCTGGTCTAATGGCGCTACCCGTACCCCGTTTTCCGAGTCAAAATCGCTACTAGGCACGGCGGGAGGATCAGAAGTCATCGATATCTTCCTTGACGCCGCCAGAACCGCTGAAAAGCTGCTCAGTGCCCTTGTTGCGACTTGAGATTTGTCACGCGGTTCACCTTCGTCCACCTGGCTGTCGCCTTCCTCTTTAAAAGCCAAGGGAGATTCTGCAGCTTCGTTCATTGGCGACGCGATGGATGGAGCGGGGGAGTTGGGATCGGCACAAGTTAATAGCTGCAGCTCTACTAGCTGCTCCTGTGCTAATTGGAGACGATCCTCGGTACTGCTGCTAGGCTGAAGCTCCTCATCACTGCTTCTCTTGGAGTCTTTTGGAGTTCCCGTCAAGCCTTCCATCGTGACCAGTTCTATCAAAATGAAGCACTTTGCTTAGTCGTTGCCTAAACGAAGCGTCGGTTGGAGCTTCCATGTCGCCCATATTTGGACTTAGTTAACTGCTTTGAGACGGCGGATGAACTCGGGGATATTTTCCAACTTTTGCTTGACTGCCGAGGGCAAGAACGACGACATGCTACTCGTTGTGAGCAGTTCGAATACATCCTCCTTGACACTCGCACTGTTGCTGACATCACTCGCCCAAGACGGACGGAACCGTAGTTGCAATCCACTGGCAGCTAAAGTGAGCTGAGCTCCATCCAGGAACACAACTCTTAAGTCTCCAGTAGCGTCGATATATCCACACCCAACACCTGCAATCTCGACTCCCTTCTGAGCTCTAGTTGAGTGCTCGACAGATACTCCCAAGTCTTGATTTGGGCGAGAAACTTGATGGGGGACGGTGAGCAAGCTTGATCGGTATCGGAACGACTCCAGCAGCGACTCTGGCAGTGCATCGTAATGAATGAATGGGAGTTTACTTGCGTGACCACGTAGTGCAATTTGGCGCAGCTGCATGGCTCGCAATGCGAGACACTGGCAAAACCGAACCAACGGCGGCAAATACGCACGCTGCGTGATGCGGGTGGAAGAGCTTGAAGCTGCACTGGAACCTGCTCGCGCTCCACTCACACCTGGGATCTCGTAGCGCAGTGGATCACCTTCTGGAGTTGTGGCGGTGAGCACCCCGCTAGCTTGATCGTAGCACGCTTCCCACCCACTGGATACCTTTAACTCGAATGTCGGTGGTCTGCCCACTTCTGCTGGCTCCTTACAACTCCATTGCAACTGCACCTTCGAGTCGTTGGGATAAATTTCGTGGCTTTGAGGGATTCCGAGACACGATACATCTTGCAGTTCCAGATGCATCACAACCGATACGATCGGACCAGCATTTCTCGAAACGGCAAGAAGCGATTTCTCGTCAGTTTGATCCGGTCTCTCCTTTTCCTCATTCCTTTCTCTTGACTCGGCGTGGGCATTGAAGGTAGTGGGTAGTGATAGCTCGGACAGATCGCTGTAGTCATCGATGATCATACTGTCGTCTTCGGGACTGGAGCTGCTGTCGCTACTGCTATTAGCAAAAGCAGCCGACATCTGAGAATACCTCATCCTGTTTGCTGGAGCTTCTGGACGTCCACGCTGCTTAGACCCTGGACGACTGTGTTCAATTGTACGTCGTCTGGATATTGTCATTGCTGGGATGGACGAGCTGGAGGATGACAGCACGGACTCTTCCTCTCGCATCAACCGAATTCCCGCAGCTCTGCGACTTTCACGTATCTTTTCAGGAGATCGAGATGCTGCACGAGGGTGTGGAGGCACAGGTTGCGGTACATGTGGAAGAGATCTGCGTCTACCACTTGGCGCCCGCTTCTGAGTTTGCTCACGTAGCCAAGGGTGTAGCAGAATCTGTTGAGCAGAAGGACGACTGCGAGGATCCTTCAGAAATATAGTAAAATACAAGTAAGCCCCCAATAACCCCACAATCTCCAATGATGACTTGGGTACTTACCGATGTGAGCAATCGCTTGATCAAGTCGCTGGCAGACGATGAAAAACCATCGGGAAACTGGAGCGGGTTCTGTCCTGCGTTTGCCACATTTTCCAGCGTTTCACTCACTTTGCGTCCTTCGAATGGCGGCTTCCCCAGTAATAAACAGTACAGAATACACCCCAGCGACCACACATCCACTGCCTCGTCATACGGCTCGTCCTCGGCCATCAACACCTCGGGAGCAATGAAATTGGGCGTGCCACACATGGTCACGTGATCGTCCCTACATCAAGCAACGCAGCCATTCAATGTTAGCCCGTAACACTCTCGCGCCTCACACAAAGTCTCACCCGAGTCTCGCTGCTAGCCCAAAGTCTGAGATTTTCACCTCCCCATTGCCATTCAGTAACAAGTTGGCAAGCTTGAGGTCTCGGTGGATCACGCCGCTGGCGTGTAAATACGCGACACCCATCAGTACTTGACGAAATATTTTCTTGGCTGTATGCTCGTCCATCTTCCGACCCGGAAGAGCCTTGGTGACGGCTGAGAGGGACCTACGAGCGCAGTACTCAAGGACCATGTAGTAATTTCGAGCGTCCTCAAAGACGCCCTCCACGTGCAGCACATGCGGGTGTTGCAGCTCGGCGTGGAGCACCATCTCCTGACGGACTTTGCTCTCTAGTTGTGCACGCTGCACCAGCAGCTTGTCGATCACTTTGATGGCTACATGGGCCCCTGAAGTCTCGTGTTCGGCCAGATAGACTTGTGCTGTGGCGCCCTCCCCCAAGAACTCGAGCAAGGTGTACTCCTGTGATCCAAAATTCATAGCACAGTTAGAGAGCACTGGGTCCATGTATCTCTGATAAAAGTGGAATGGTATTAACGCACGGAGATCGAGCGTGGCGCGCCGGAAGTGGTGCCAGAGACATCCAAAGCTTGTTTCATGTTGGTTCCCGCGTTTTAAGTCGAAAATAAAAACGAAATTAAATAAGATTCGGTTTTGATGATCGTAGCTTAAATTCTGCCACTTCGACTTTTAAGTGGTCGTATTTTTTTTAATAAAGCTTCTAAAATCGTTTGGCGCGGCTGAATGTGATGTGGGGCCCTGTACGGTGATCTGTGTGGTACAAGTCGTAAATGGGTCCTGGCGTTTGCTGCGAGTTGGAAGATCTGAGACGCATTTCCTTGCCGAACGTCGGGGATACGGTTTGCTGGCACTCTTGGAACGAGCCTTTGAGCATAAGATTCGGTCCCGGACCGATGCTCTTGTTGTGCAGTGGAGGACGTAGTGACGTGCCTAGTTTGGGTGCAGAAGATCCTCGGCCCATGACTGGCGGAAGATCGTAAATTGGGCCTGGAGAGGGTGTCGAATTCTCTTGCAATGGCGTACGTGGGGCATTCTCGAAAGCCGACGATCCGGCAGACCGACACTCCGAACTCACTTGCTTACCGCACGACGTTGACGGTTCATATGAACCTGGACCTGCCCCTGGATCAACTCGCTTGCGAGCGAAATCCCAGTCCTCGCGTGTGCTGTTTCCAAAGCTCTTTTTCGGACTTGTGCCGATGCTGGTTGGAAGGCTGTAGAAAGCATCTGAAGCCGCAGCGCCTGCTTGCCATCGAAAGCGCTGCTCCGTGGGTATGTGCGCTGCGACTGTGTGATGTATGCCTCGCTTGGACGGTGATTCAAATAGAGGAGGGTGAGTGCTGCCACCGCCGCTGGTTCCATTTACAGTCCCGCCTTTTGTGCCGACTTGGATGTCTTGCGTCATTTTTGAAGAGCTGTTGGAGCGAAAAGACCAACCAGAGAGGTTGGGCACGTTTGGTGATATGACAAGTATGAGATCAACTCGTTCCAGTGCCCTACTATTTTTATGTCCCGTCCTCTAGCTGGCACGAATCATCGCTACTGATTCCTAGCAAGAACATTTTTCACTAAATATAATACAGCTGTATATTTGTATTATTGCACCGCGACCCCCAACCCGGAATTGATAGTAGAGTGATTTTTCGCAAAGATACTTTAGTAGTATCAGCTGTATTTGCTCGGCAAATTACTAAATGTTTCAGTAGTACTTTGGTTTTATTAATTACTAAAACATAAGAGCACTACATAATACCGAACAGCTATTAATTTCATTAATTTAAATATGGACCTCTCGAATCCCGAACTACTACTGAACCACAAAAGTAGTAAATAAAATATACCAAATAATATTATTTACAGAGCTACTACTGCCCATCCCTGCTTGTATAATAGATGAATCGTTATTTTTGCTCGACTTTCATTCTTCCGGTTGCCAAGTTGAAGTGAAACAAGTCAATGAAAGAGAACACAGTCCACGTGTCCCTGGATACGTCCAGCAATCTTTACTTTCGCCGAGATGAGATGCGAGTCGTCGTCTCCATCATCGACCTGCTTCATTACTCGCACTTCACGGCATTATAAGCTGGCACCGCACAGTCTGGTCTGCAATAAGCCGATATCCATACTTGGTACATGTACAATTGCTGCCTCTGTGGAACATCCACTGGAAGCATGCAACAATCTGATACTGCGAAGTTCCAAGGTTCACGTCGGACTATGTTGATACCAAGGTGTCATCTCTTGAATTCCCTTTTATCCAATCCACGAACGTTAATCACCCTTTCCACCAATAATATTCATTTCCACCGAGCCGCAGCTGCATTTCTCTCATGAGTCATTCCCGCATTTCTCCTCTTCACTCGTCGAGCTCACCACTAAAGGCGCCCCACCATGGCGGTGTTCCACCTGTACTCGGCGCTGAATCTGCTGTGGATCCTATGCAACAGCGCGTGTATCAATTTCCTGCAATTCTGTCTTTGGTGCCTTGTGCGGCCGTTTAACAAGGCACTTTATCGCCGACTTATGGGGTGCGTTCTTCCAGCGACCTTCACTCTGTTTGTATTTGCCAACTAACCAATGACCATCACTCTGCAGCTCCGTGGCACAATCACTCTGGGTAGACGTCACATCCACGAGCTTCCCACAGACCAAGCTCTCGGTCACTGGCGAGCTGCCGTCAGACCCCACGAAGCCCGTGATCATCATAGCGAACCACCAAGTTGACGCGGACTGGTGGTATATTTGGCAGGCCGCGCGTCACCAACACGCAGCTGGGAACATCAAGATCGTGCTCAAAGACCAACTCAAGTACCTGCCCATCATCGGCTGGGGCATGCGCCTCTTTCAGTTCCTCTTCCTACGACGCCGCATCGACCAGGATGCAGAGCACATCAAGAAGTACATGGGCGGACTCATCAGCGATAATTTCCCTTTTTGGCTCGTGTTATTCCCCGAGGGAACGACCATCCACCGTGAATACGTGGTCAAGTCACAGGCTTTTGCGGCTCGAGAAGCTCGTCCCAAGTTCGAGCGAGTGTTGCTGCCACGCACGACCGGGATGCGGATCATTCTGGACGCTGTGGCGGATGCCAAACCCGATATTTACGACCTCACTGTGGCCTTCCCGTCGTACTCGGGTGAAGTCCCGACGTTCGACATGGGATATGGACGCAGAGTTGACACCGAAGTGCCGTCGATGAAGTCGCTACTGGCAGGGAAGCAGCCTGTGGGCCGAGTGGCTTTACACTCAAGGAAGTTTAAGTACGAGGACGCTGCGACAGACTTGCAGGGATTCTTGGATGCTCGCTGGACGGAGAAGGAGGAGCGGATGAACTATTTCATCAAGCATCAGCAGTTCCCGGAAACGGAGAGCACAGTGGAGATGCAACTATCGGTGAATACGGCGTTTCTTAGGGGAAATTGGAGTGGGAAGGAGCTAACAACTCTTTTTTGTGCTGCTTTAGACCTCGATGGGAGCAGTTTTCCGGCTGTGGATGGGCATCTTGCTGTCGTGTGTTGTGCTTCCCGTCGTCATGATGCTCTTCTTCCCATGTACGTGTTGCAGCGTCTTGCTGCTAATGCCTGGTGCCTGATCATTGACGCTACTTTGTGCTTTTTTTTTGATACCGCTCAGTGTACTTCACGTGGGTCGTCTACTGCTTCGTGTACTCGGTGTACGACCGCACCACGAACTTCTGGTGGCCGTACATTTTCAATCTCTTCGTGGAGCGCGCCACTAAGACGCACGAACACTTTAAGCGTCACCAGGCTAAGTATCTGTGAGGTGGGTAAGAGCACTCAACCAGCCACGGATGCAAACTGAGGCAAATTGATAATGCGTGTTAAATTTTTGTTGTCGGTGCTGAAGTTAGACTCACTTTTTGTTCTGAAAGAGTGAAAATCAATTCGAAGCGTGGCGATCTTAGCCACACCAATTACTTTTAGAAGTGCTACGGCTCGTCTGGTATGGAATGCTGTATTGCTCTGTGACTACATGTAGTCTATTCATCGTCATCGTCAGAGCCAGCCCAGCGTTGGAAGGTGAGCACGAATTCCTGGAAGGTGATGGTGCCGTCTTGGTCGAAGTCGAGCTCCTTTATCCGCTCGTCGCGTATGGCTTTGGAGGAGAAACTGCTTTCCATGCGCTCCAGACGTCGTGGGGAGTTGGGGCCTGTCGGGTTCTGCCGCATTTGATCCAGCACTTCACTGGTCTGGATGGTGCCGCTGGCGTCGTTGTCGAAGAGCAGGTACGCTGAGATCATGAGGTCCAAGGCTTTGGCAATGAGTTTTGACGCGTTATTCCCTTGCTCGGCAGGCGGCTCGTCGGGTGGAGTGATCAACGTCACGTCCTCGGGGGCTTGCACGACTGAGGCTTTAATGGAGTCAAAATTGGTGATAAGACCCAGCAAGTGCGCGATGGCCAGCGATACGACGAATTCGTTTTGACTCAGCGAGTTGTCTCGCACCATGTCGGACTCGTAGAAGATCTCGGACACGTCGGACTCTTTGATATGAGCGCCCATGGCGTTGAGTGCCGCCTTGAGGCCTTCGAAGTCGAGACCGTCTTTCTCAGCCTGTACGCGGGACTCAAGTTTAGTTTTAAAAAGATCAAGAATTTTCAAGTACGACGACGAACTTACGTTGGCGAATTGACGGTAGATACTGCGGAGGGTGGTGAAGGCGTCTCGGACCAACGCGAACTGGAGAACGATACGCTCGAAGTGCATGGCTCGACCCTTTTTAGGGTCTGCACGTCGAGTGAGGTTGAGCTGACGCAGTGTGGCGATGATGCGGGCATCGATTGAAGTCGGCTGCTTGGTGGATTCACGACGACCTTCACTTGCCGGTCTCGCTTTATTGTCTACGGGGTGGCTAATGGCTGTGCGAACAGAGCTGATGCTGGCTCGGGCACTCCTCAGTGATCTCGTTATCGCGGGCTTTGACACACCACCGCCCATGGTTCGAGGATGAACTCGAGAGGGAAGATTGGGCCTGAGGAGTTCACGCCTTGTCCTTTGGACAGGTAGAGGAGCGCTGCGAAGAGGAACGTCCTCGGTGGAGAGAAGAACTCGATATAATTTTATTTTTAGCGGCAAGGACGTCATCTTGGTTGAGGAGCGGAAATAGCATCCACCGATCGACTACACAAAGGCGACTTCGATTTAGCAAGAATCAGCGCGCGGGGGTGGGGGATCTCAGCTTTGATTAACGTTGATTTACTTTATCACTGCGGTGGACCTTGAGGCATGATGGGGGCGAATCCAAGCGCCTTTATGGCTTTTGGAGCGTATTCACGTATCCTCGTGGTCGATGACGCTGGTCGTTGTGGCTGAGTTGCTCCTTTGAGGAGTGCAGGTATGTCGCTGCTCATGTTTTCGTTGAGCATGGCTTGCAACGCTGTTGGTCCACCACGCGCCACAATCGCATTCTTTAAGCTCACTACAGTAACAAGGTTAGAACTGGACCAACGACGTGTTTTAACGTAGAGTTCGCACCTTCCGAAGAAATATTAGACACGACCCACACAGCATACTCGGACTCTTTGAGCTCAACAGCCGTACCAGAGTGTCAACAGCTCTAGATAACTCGACAACAGCAGCCGCGTCGCTGACACCGCCTGTGGTCATGAGAGCTACGCCGAGTAGAGCAAGTTGAACAAGTTGATCGTCTTGCGTGGCCCCACCAGGAGACTGGATAATGCCAAGAAGAGCTTCCAGGGCTCCACAGCGAGCCATGCGGAGTCGACACTGATCAGATGAAGCGAAGTTCACCAGCAGGAATAATGCGTTTAACCGCATAGAAGTGGTGGATCCGCCCTCAGCTGCACTCAAACCTTGCAGAAGCTTTACAAGGGACTCGATACTACTGACCAGAGCTGCATCGGGACAGAGATCAGCCACTTGTCCAGCTTGAGTCATGGTCGTTAAAGCCTTGAGCGACTCACTTAGTACGCGCAGGTTGCTGCTCGTTGCAGAGATGGCTACAACAACTTGAAGCACAACGTCGTAGGTCGTCGGAGTGAGCTTCATCTTGAGTACTTCGTCAGCGAGCAGCATGTTTAACAAGGTCATCACCACAAGAAGCAGATCATTCTTGCCACGACCTGCTGTCGTGATCGAACGCGCTTCATCCGATAGAGCTCGTACTAGACTCAATAGAGCGTGAGAGCCGTCGTGTCCTTCTGACCCGAGAAGCAGTTCGCGTACCTCGTTAAGATCGGGATGATCCTCAACAAACTCTGACACCACACGGAAGGCTTCCAGTTTAATTCGAGGGTCTACAGCGCCAAGTAGGTCGAGAGCGGCCCGCACACCTTCACCTTGAAGCAAAATGCGTCGGACGTCCACTTCTTCATGGTCCACTGAACGACGTTGCCGACTCTGAGGTCGTCGGTGACGTTGTTGGCTGTGACGATTCTTCCCAGCTTTTAGGATGGCATTAAACACTGCTAACGCGTTGGTGACAGAGCGATGCGCGTCTGGTACGGGGACGTTGCGTCGGACACTCTCAACAATTTGGCGGATCAAAGACTGGAGAAATGCTGAATCCATATCAGCAACACTTGCAAGCCGACTCATCGCGCCTAGTGCCTTGCGTTGACTAGAACTCTGCTCGTACTCCAGTAGTTGATCACTCAGCGTTTCAAGGATGCTGTGTGCGACCAGCTTGGGGACAAGTTCGGCGTCTTTGGACAAGCTGTAGACTATCCACACAGCGTTATTGTGTACGCCAAACTCACGTTGGGTGTATTCGAACTGCTTCTCAACGACCAAGAGCTCACACAGTTTTGGCAGCAGATTCGAAGACACAATTCGGCGACTTACAATCTGGCTGCGGTCGCACATTTTACCGAGAAGAGCGAGCACGCACGCTTCAATCTCACAGCGACGAGGCGTCTCTACTAGCGGCGAGAAGAGAATCTGGGCCAGCACTGGCACCGTAGCGTTGCGTACAAGAGCATCCAGACAGAGTGAGAACGCGCAGAGGTGAGCTAGAGCCTGTAGTGCGTGTAATACCACAGGTAAATGCACCGACTCGAGGGATTCGATGAGTAGTGAAATGTTTTCTGGGGATACTAGTGAGGCTCGCAGGTCTTCCTGAGCTGCAATTCGTGCGATCAAGAGCGCAGCATGAGCTTGGACACCCGCGCTGTCCACCGGTAAAGTCTCTTTCGTGTTGGATTTCCGACTCGTGTCGGAATGTCCAACAGAAGTTGTTAGAGCTCCGTAGAGCACAGCGGCGATCCCAGGAGCTTCTCCAATCTTCAACAACACTTCGTCGTGCGTGTTTGCTGCACGTGCTAAACACTTGAGAGCTTCAGCTTGTCTGAAAGCCACTGCACGCTTCGAATGTCTCCAACTCCCTGAAGACGGCCGAGTCTCCTGTTTACTTAAATCGCAGCCACATTCGCGAAGCAGGACGGGGATAGCGTCGAGATTAAATAGCGAAGTGATAGCTGGATCTAATTCAGAGAGCGAGCTCAGAAGTTCCCAGCTGCATCGCGCTTGAAGTTCAGAGGCCGATGATGCGTGAATATGCCACAGAATCTGCTGTATTGCGCGTTCGTAGGCCACGCAAGCAGCTCGTCCAGCGTCTCCAGTACGTTGCAGGATGACGAGAACACAGAGCAGCAAGCGAGCACGCACATTTTGGAGTAAACCGTCTTCGACTTGAGCGTACAGAAACTTGAGTAGCTCAAGCAGCAGCTCTTCAATACTCGCAGTCGTCTCAGCTCCAGGCGTGGGCGTATTTACCGTCATTTCCACTAGACTTAAGAAGAGCTCCATCGCTTTTTCTCCGTTGACATCTCCGCAGAAAACCGGCATTAACGGCGTGAAGAAGACATGAAGCAAGGCAGCATTCCGACAAATATCGTCGAAACAGGTGGAGCTGTTCACTGCCAGCCAATGCACGAGCTCCAGCACTTGCTCAACAAGATTCAACGCACCATTTCGTGCTTGTGAACTTCGATCGGATGGGTCCATCTCACTCACTAACATAAAGGCGTTGCAGAGCCATCGGGCGTCAATTTGACCGACGACGACAACGCCGCTGCCTCCCGTTCGAGCGTTCTCCTCCAACTGAGCCCTAACAAGCCCAGCTAACTCTAAAACGTGCGCTATTTGAGTACTTTCCAGCCGAGGTCTCTCCTGGAAGTCATTGTCTTCATCCCCACGTTGTCGTGCAAAAGCTACCGCCAGCAGGGCGTTGAGATCCCAGCGAGCAAGATACAATTCTCCAAAGCTGCTCAAAGTCGACGATATACTTCGATCAGGCGGACTCCAGCCAGAGATCTTGACCAGAGACGCCACACAATCGCTTGCAATGATCGATGCCAGTTTACTCGCTGATGAGAATTCATCCTTCGTCACTTCTGGCTCATGTTCAGTCGCCATGGCAACGTTTTGAGCCTTTTCAGCATCGGCCACAAGGTAACTCGTGAAGGAATCGATGGCTTGCTCTTTCGTCGGCGCGTGAGTTAGCACGTAGCGTTCGAGGAAACGCAACAGATACGCCACACGCTCTCGCCGCTCCTCTTCAGACCTGGCAGCGTCGAATTGTTGTAGCGCTCTAGCAAACTCTTCGTTGAGATCGGCACTGTATCCAAGCATTCCCAAAAGTGCAACCGGCAGCGCCTTGTCACCAGGTGCAATCAACGGATTGTTCTCCAACGCGCTGCGCGTTCCAGCAGCTTTCATCTCTTCGATTAAGTGTCCTGTACTTGCTAATAGCAGCAAGAGCTGGAGCACCAAATGGCGCGATAGATTGGCTTCACGCTCGGGTACTTGGAACACATGAAGAAGCTTGGGTAGCAACGCTGCTGTGCCTTTGAATGTGCTGCAACCAGTAAGGACGAGCGCATCTCCCCAAGCTTCACGGACATCCAGCATTGCTTGCAACGCTCCCTCAATTACACGAGGTGGTAAACTATCTCCTCCGCAGCTCAACACTACAAGACACTGGCAGCATAAATTACTTCGCTGTTCAGCTACCTGTTCCTCTGGTTCGTCAGACAAGGGCAAGTGCGCGACTACAGACAACATTCGACACGAATTCCTCAGCAATTCTTCGTCTGGTTTCTCTGTTTTTTCCACCATGTGCAACCAGTCTCGAAGAAAGCACATCCAAGTGGAAGTTGATGCTTGAGACAAGAGTGTCGAAGCTAGTGCTGGGGTTAATGGACTCACGCTTTCGACGATACAAGTCCACAGCATTGCATCCTCTGGATCTAACGATACCTTGGAAGGGTGAGCAGATAAACACACAGAGGGATGAACCAGCAGCAGTTGGTGAAGCAAAACAGTCAGTGCTCGACGTGAATCTCCCTCAGAGCGCAACATGTCGGATATCCCCGACCTCATGGCTGATTCTGGCGGACAACTCGAGTGCACGAAGCTGAGGTAAACACTCAACGCTATCTTCAACGGTTGATTAGCATCGTCGCTCTCGAAGGAACCGCAGTACAATGCCAGCAGCGCCGGTAACTTCGCAAGGAATCGCTGACTGACGACAAATCCTCGAGAGATGGACACGTATAGCACTTGAGTGAGGACCACAGCCAACTCGGACGCATCGGTACCTGGTTGCGTGAATACAATCAGAAGTTGTTCCAGAATTTGGTTGTCGCCGACGGACTCACGAGCGCGCTCGGGGTCGTTCTGGAAGGCTGACACCACGATGCGCTCGGCCATTTCACGATGCTGACGTGATGCACTAACGAGCAGAACGGTGAGCAGTTCAGCGAGTAGTTTGGGTGTCAACGGGTAGTAGAATTTCTTGCTAGTGTCTGCCGTTGTTAGTGAGAATGCACCACGAAGAACACGTAAGGCTGGAAGCTGTCGCTTGGGTGTTTGATGTGCCGCCACACGGGCTTCAAGTAGAGCTGCCAGATCCAACAATTTCTGTGGATGCCACTTGACTTTGGCCTCCTGTTCGTGCGCCACATCTAACAGATTAGCGAGTAACGTTAACCCACGTGCCACTTCCACTGGAGTGAACTCCTCATCCTGCAAGTCGTCGCCTTCTTTGTGGAGAGTCAAGCTTTGAAGAATGATAGCGCATATGCGAGATAGTATATCTCTTGAGGAGTGATTGACCAAACCGACACAGCCAGCAGTACTCATCAAGTAGACAAGCTGCAGTGCGTCGCGAGATACTGTAATGGGCGTACTCTGGTCTGAATTCTGTAGCAGACTTTCGAGTAATACGACGAGAGGTTTGTTCTGAGCGAGTGTAGCTCGTAGTTCGCGGTTTGCTTTCGCTAGAGCGACCAACCCGGTCAATGCCAGTTGTCGTTTACCTGGTAACGCATGTGTCTCGTTCAGTTTTGATGGTTCTTGGTCATCCGCGAGTACACACGACAGAAAGTGTGATGGTAATTTGGACGCAGCGAGGCCTGAAGCCACGGTCAAGCCAGCAATAGCGAGGTTCGTGAGGATTTCAACTGTCCTTCGGGCTCCTAAGATATCGCGCTCTTGCTGCTGGATACTCAACGCGAGCATCGGTAAATGTCCACTCACTTCCACGATTCGTTCTGGTCCGTAAAGTGCACGGGATAACTCGGTCAATAGTGTACACGTCAATTTGAGTCGTTCATCGAGACTTTGGTTGATCTCTTTGTTGTCGTTTGCTGCGTGAATGTCCACCGATTCTTGTACGAATCCCACGAGACGTGCCACACAATGTGGATCGGTCAACAGCAGTGCCTGCACCTCTGTATCTCCTCGAGATAAGTCGAGGACCAGAGTCAATAACAAGTTCTGCACCTTGATGTTGCTCGCTTGACACAGCGCTGCTACGAGAGCTGGTATACCGTCCGCCACGATCAAAGCAACACGTACATCGCGCTGCTTTAGCACTGCAAGCAACAATTGTGCAGACGGGATTGCAACCTCTTCACTTGATGATCCAACTAGCTTAAGCAGCGCTGGGATATCTTCTCCACTGTTAAACAGCGTTGCGTATGGAGAAGAGAGCTCTCCATTGCCAACGAAAGCACGGATCAGCTCGATTATCAATCGACCCAACGTAGGGAAGAAATCGACAGCAGACAGCCATCGTTTCAGAGGTAAAAGCTGAGGAAGAAGAGCGTTTTTTCCTTGTGCAAGGGTCTCGACTGGCGTCTTGAAGTTGCTTCCGAAAGGACAGCCAAACACGTTAAACAGGATCGACAGCAGCATCTCACACCACCGTCCGGTGAGCTTTGCTGGGCCACTTTCACCATCTAGAAGACGGCAAATTCGAGGCAGTAACTCCAGAAAACGCACGTGTACAGCAGGGACTGCTGAGACTTTGACGAGTACACTTAATAGCAAATGAAGCAGCTCTGGTACCTCTGCAGTGTCATCTCTCGATGCGATGCCAGTAGCAGTCATTGTCTCCACGATACCGAAGAGTTTCGGCACCACTTGAGCCACATCAAACGCGAGGACGATGCCTTCTACTTGAGAGAAAACCATGTGTAACATTGTACACGAGTCTTCGAAGACACGACGATCGAAAGTGGGAGCTGTGTTGGCTCCAGTCGTTGTTAGGATCCCACCTGCCGAGCTACTGACAGCGAGGTCAGACAAGATGAGGACGCCGTCCATGCTGCACAATCCTGGCAACGTGGGCATGTTTGCTGCCATGAGAGACAAGATGGGTGTGATGCGAGCTTGTAATGGTCTGGACTCGCTCTGAAGCAAGCCTTTCAGTCGAGCTACAGTGCGGTCGGAAGAGAACAACAGCTCCGTCTCCTCACCATGTAGCGTTGCGAGATGAAGCATACAGCGCAGAGCTTCATCCAATATCTGGCGATCATGAAGCAGTACAAGACTATCAAGTGCACGAGGTACGTGCAGCTCGAGAGCATCTTCACTCAGTTTAGTTGAGAACGATATGAGACGGCGACACACTCGCAGTACATGCAGCACGGTCGCAAACTGCAGCGACCAGTTCAACCGAGTTCGCTCTGCTGTGTCAGTAGCTTCTGGACTTGATTCTTCGCTGTAAGTCGACTCTCGTCGAATGAGCACAAGACTTTCAGGTCGGCTGGGCAGGCGTTTACCGCCGAAATGATGCAGTGAAGTCGCTACTAAGTTAATGAGACCCCTAGGAGCTTCTCCTTTCTGGAATTGAGCTGCAATCTCGTTGTGCGATGTCAATACGCTCAGACAGCTGAAGGCATCTCGCAGCTCACTTAGCGGTATAGATTGAGGATCCTGAGCGTAAATGTGCAGCCATTCGGCCAGATGCAGTAGGACGGCACTCCAGCGTTCGTCACTGGGTTCTTTCTCGGCTTTCGTTGGACTACATGTAGTCAACGGCTCGTTCGATGCCCATACTTGTTTGTTAAGTATACGCGCGAGAAGTTGCAATGCTGGGCGGCGAACGTTTGGCTCTACCGCTTCAAGTAGAGCAGCAACCGGTGTACATACTTGCTTGTGAACAAGTAGAGCGAGCACGGTCTCAGCTTCCGGCTCCTTCTCCGTCGCAGTTCTGAGCACACTCAACACATGCGAGACGACGGATCTGGGTAGATTCAAACAGTCAGGAGCACGCAGACCACAGCTAATTAGGACGTCGAGCCCACGAGGCTCTTCCCATATCCAGCTACGCACACAGCTCGCGGTAGTTTCCATTTTTTCAGGTTCATTTGAGCTGGACACTTGTGGTGTTGCTAGAAGCGTCAAAGTCCAGATAGTCGTTGCGACGTTTTCAGGCTTCACGCTTTCATCTTTAGTGTAGTCCGCTTGAGCCAGCAACCGTGCAATTGCCGAACGTTCAAGACGAAGTTGTGGGGCGTGACCAAAGAAGGCCAAATAGCCCAAAGTCTCGGTAGCCATGAGCTGTACAATCTCCAGTCGGTCGTCGTAGCTTGGAAGAGGTAGCACTTGAGATAGCAATCTCCCAATAGATGGAAGATCATCAAGAGATGCCAAGATTCGAGCTGTGGCTTCGTCCATAACCAAACGCTGAATCGACCGCATAGTGTGGAGCAGCCTCACGATACTGTCATCCGTAGCAGAAATACTTGAGCTTTGTAGACATGACAGCAAGAAAGGAAGCGGCTGGACGGTACCGCCTGTGATCTCCAATACATACGAACGACTCGCCGGCGACACTTCCATGACGTCGGCAAATGCGCGCAGCGATAGTAGAAGCAAGTGCGTCAGTTGTTGCGTATGAGGCGCCACCATGAAGCGGAACATTGGAGCCACTAGATCAGGAGAAGCCTCGAGGTACGGCACCATGATCGGCAAGGAACTTAACCCAGCAAGTGCTTCTGCAAGCTGCTCACGTTGTGGATTTGGTAGCTCTGGTGTGCCAAGAGCAAGTGCCTTCAAGACGAGAGGGAATCCTCCAGCATGTACCAGCAGTTCACGGTAGGGAGTTTGTGCTGAAAGCGTACGGATGATCGCAGAGAGCGACACTGTCAGCGCCAGTATGAGAGATTCGCCTTCTGACGGGAGCAAATCGGGTGCAACACCCAAAGTCACGGACAACCACAGCTCGAAGTACGCGACTATAACTTCAACACCACCTTCCTCCACGATGACTTGCTCGTCGTAAGGAAGCGAGCACAATTGCCGCAAGACGTCAAGACACTCCCACACCAACTGCGAAAGCCTCGTAGGGCTAGCTGTAAAGTACAACGCTGCGTCTTCACTTTCAGCTTCAGGTAATTGTGGATCGATAATCCTAACACGCAGCAAATCTAACAACAAACTCGTGAATTCCAGCTCGGATAGTCGACGCACAGCCTGGTCACCCAGTGACTTACAAAGCCGAGCAGCAGTTTGAACCGAATGAAGACGGCGAGTTTGCAGCGTCTTGTCGGCATTCTCAGACTCCATCATGTCTCGTTCTGACACTAAAATATACGGCGGTAACCTCACGTAGACGTCATTTTCATGGAGAAGTACAGCGATTTTCCTTGTCCCTGCGATGCACGCAAGAAGGCCTAGAACAGTCTCGTCGTTCTCACCCAGGACTCCTTCGTTGCCCCTCAGTTCTTGTACAATACGTCCAAGTGCTTCACCGCTGTCTTCTAGAGTGATCGTCGTCTTGTGCTCTTCCACTGTAACGAGCAGTGCGAACACACGAAGCACGTTACGAATCGTCTTCGCGCTTGTACCTTGATGAACGAAGCAGACTCGTAGCAATGACACCGTCTTTTTCGGCAAGAAGAACTTGAGCGAATCGTCCGCTAGCAGCGCTAGTACTAGACGGCTGATGTTCTTGCCCAGCGTCTGAGTGTGTAGCTGTAGCAAAGGCGTGAGTACATCCGCAATGATCTCTTCACCTTTAAGTCCCTGCCGAACGCGTGAGAATTGTACCAATGTACCTAGCAGTCTTACAGCACGGTCAAGTACGCGATCGTGCGGCACGTTAGCCGGTTTCCTCAGAATGCCGTGCACTAGTGTGGCTGGAACGTCAAGTGCTACCAGCTTCATCGGATTATCACCACGCGCTGCGAGTTTGGACAACACGTAGGCAGCAGCTTCCACGACCACAAGGCTAGTAGAGGTCAGCAGCTTGGACAGTGTCTGCAGCGCCCCACGTTTGGTAGCTGCGTCTTGAAGCGTAGTATTCTGCTTTAGCCAACAGGCCAAAGTGTAGCATCCACATCTCGCGACGAGTTCGCTGGAATGTTGTAGAGCCTGGCATAACACAGCCACAGAGAGGGTATCAACAACCTCAAGCGTGCGATATTGTTCGGCGCAGTTGCTTAGAAGCAGCAACGTTTGCTCCAGCACAGCTGTCTGTAGACTTGGAAAGGCAATGAAGTCCAGCATTGCAGCGCGAGACCCAAGCTCAGCTCGACGAGGTTCATCACTCTTGATAACTCCCTTCTTGAAGGAATCTCTGGCCATACTCTGGTACATTTCTTCGTCGTCTTTCAAGCACGAGTCATTATTATCCTCTTGTTGAGCCTGAATAGACGATGAAGCGCTAGACAAGGCTTCCTTATCCATTTCGTCACTTTGAGACACTAGACGAGATACTTCTCTCTCCGACAGATAATCCTTCACTGCAGCAGGTAAAGCGGACGTCGTAAGCTGTAGCAGAAGCAATAACGAGTCGCCTCGTTCAGCGATACGTGAGGCATTTCTGGGGGCGAAAGACAAGTTGGCAAGACAAGTGACCGTCAGCTCCACCATCTCCAGCTCATCAGCACCACTCGCGCCACTCAGACCAAGTCTCAACCGAGCTAAAAGAGCCTCTACGCACTCACGAAATCCGAAGCGAGTCTTGTTGAAGGACTCACGAGTGAGATGCCGGACGACGAGCAACGCTGCACGTGCGATACGTGGATTGATGTGGGAAACCAACTTGACTACTGCCAGTACATCAATGCAGCGTGATAATTCGAGTGCTTGTGCTGGCATCGGAGCCAGCTCTCCCAGTACAAGCATGGTACTCTCCACGATAGAACCATTCGAGCCTTTGAGCAACGCACTTAACTCTGCGACGACAGGAGCTTCACACTGAAGAAGGAACTTCTTGTTGGCGTCGTTGCCCACCACAATCACTGCGAGAGCTCTGGCCGCACCTTTAGCCACTTCGAGGACTTCGTGATGGACGAGAGATAATAATTTCTCGAAACACACTTTTCCTCCTAGCTTGACTTTGTTTCCAGCGTGAGATCCAAGCTTCACGACAGCTAGCAAGACATTCTCCAGAACATTTCTCCGTTGGGAAGATAGTCGATCTACCAGCGGAGACGCAGCACCCGCAGCTCCCAATCGCACTTTATTCGCTTCATGTCGAGTGGCTAGATTGGCTACCAAGAGAGCTGCGTAGCGCTGTAATCCAGGAAGTTCAGACTGTAAACTTGCAATGATCCCTGATAGTAGAACTTCTCCACCTTCGTTCAGAATAACTCCACGGTTCTCTTGAGCTTCAGCCAAGTAGGCAAGGAGTTGAGCTGTTGGAACGCGCACAAAGCCACTGGGATGACGCAACAACTTGGTAAGTAGAGGGACAAGTCCAGCTGATACCAGACGGCGTTGGTTGTTGCTACTTGCAAATGTCCCCATGGCTAGTGCACGCGTCCACGCCGCACAAAGCCGTTCATCGTCGTCAGCGCTCACAATTCGTACAAGCGCTGCGGATTGATCACATTCGAGTAATTCTTTCTTTGACGCCCTAGCTGCAGGACTTGAGCCTTCACACAACGCCGCAAGCGCCTGAAGTCCTTTGATCTGCAACTTTCGAGACGTATCTTGGTCTTCTGAAGTCTTTGTTACGAGTTCTACCAGGAAGCTCGTTGCGCCTAATTCCTCGAAATGTTGACGATTCCCGTCGTGTCGATGAACCAGGTGACGCACAAGTCCACACGCTCGACGTCGTACAGCGTATTCAGGACGTTGTTGCAGTGCTCGCATCACTACTGAAGCTCCATTAGCGTCGTATACAAACCGAGGAACTCCGGGCTGTTCACACGCAAGTCGTTGGAGTAGATGAAGACTGGCATGAGCCACAGGGGCAAGAGCTGAGTCGACATGGCGCAGTGTAAAGTCCACCATCTTGGACGTAGCCACGACTCTTCTAGCGGGTACTTCTGCTTGTAGCGTCTCGACTTCTGCTTCGTCGTCAATCTCAGCTTGCGCTTCGACATGTGCAGGGGACCTAGCAGCACTGCAGACCCAAGCTAGAGCATCCAGAGTCTCAGCAAGGAGCTCAGAGTTTAGAGCGGTGGATGGAGAGTGCAGCAGAAGTAGCAAAGCCTCTAGTAGTCTACGCTCCACAACGAGGTGCTGGATCGTTGCATCTCTTCGAGCCAACAGTCCGAGAAAGCGAAGCACGTGACGTTGTGGGAGCACACCACGGCCAGTAGATGCACGTTCACGATCAAGAAGAAGCTGCTGAATGGCGTTCAGCACAACTGGCACAGCTAAAGTGCGACGTAAACCTGGAGTCTTCGATCTTGCTAGCTCACTCATTGTGTCGATTGCAAGTCGAGCGATGGGATCGCAGAAATGAGGGAATAAATCCATAATACATAGGAAATGGGGCGCCACAATGAGAGCTTGCTTGGTCGTCTCGCAGCACGCTGTCCGGAATACACTTCGAATTACCCAGTACAGAGGCTTTAGACCTGATAGGACGACCTTCTTTTCTTCAGCTTCCAAGTCACTGGAGACTTGAATCGTCGCTGGATCAAACGCTGGTTGGTTACCGATGCATCGCTGTAACAATTGGAGAAGACCCGACACTGAATCTGGGATCTGAGCGAAAGCGACACATTTGTCTTCGTACTGGAAAAGGTTTCCCCACACTCGACACGCAGCAACAGCCACTGCGATATCCACACTGGAAGTTGCTAACAGTTTCGCCAAATGACGCTGCGTTACGGTGGAGGGAATATCAATCGAGTTAAGTCGCTTGAATAGCCGTCGCAGCAGTGTAGCCCCCAACAACTGAGCTCGTGTGTTGAGTGATGCTTGCAGTAAATTGGCGATGCGATCGGGATCACTGGCGAAAATCTGCTCCAGCGCCCGTGTGTTTTTATGAGCAGTGAGGCCTTCCAGGAAGCCTAAAACTTGTTCGTGAAGGGCTTCATGATCCACTCGTGAAGCAACATTCAACGCCTGGTCTACAAAAAAGGTTGACGAGCTGATGTGTTCATTGATCAGTGCTGAATGTCCCGCAAGAGCGCCGAGTAAGGGGGTCAAGCCGAACAGATGCTCTGGTTGATGCTTCTGGAAGAGCGCGCCGAGTATCTGCAGTGCATCAGGCGTAGTCTCCAATAACTTACAGAAAGATAAACTGCAGTCATCGCCGTTGCTGCAGCATTCGAGAAAGAGAACCAATAAACTGGGGAGGAAGTCAGCGCTTGCACCTCGAAGGTATTCCAGCATTCTGACCACGCTTTCTGCTTCGCACAAGTATTTTTTGACGTGAGACGCTGTACTGAGAGCTGCCAGCAACTTCAGCGCGTAGGTCGACCCAATGCCGAGTCTCTCAATCGCACGAGCATACACAAGCGTCAAAACGTCATTCCCCTGCATGCCTTCGCAGCTTGCAATAGTGCTGACACGCAGTGGGTGTAATGCTCCCGACGACGACGAGAGTTCCGGACGCACTAATGGGCCTGTGCGAGAAACCAACGCCTCATTTGTGACTGTTGCTAGTGCAAATATCGCGAGTCTTGCCACTTTCTCGTCACGTCCAGGACCTGATAGAGTCACCAACTGCACGAGATTCTGTGGAGCATCAACTTGAAACAGTGTCTGTCGTACGCGATCATTCGCGTGGAGAGCGACGATACCCAGCGCGTATGCAGTGGATACAAGGACTTCAGGCGAGCCACCGACCAGCAGCTTCGCGAGGATACCCAAATTGGTCTCGGAACAGATCGAGGAGTGAAAAATACTGGACTTGGCTAGACTCGCGAACAGGAAACTCGTTGCACTCGCGGCGGGAGATCTCTTTGCTGCACCTCGAAGCGTCTCGAGCATACGTCCTAGTGCCGCTGTGGTTTGCTCTCGTGGAAAAATCGTGTCGGTCTCGTCAGCGATGAGGGATAATGCGAAGATGACAACGTCGACATTCGGGTTTGTAGGCGACATAAGACGCAGGAAAGTGTCGATACAACCAAGTCGCAACAGCTCCACTAAGTTCTCGGCTGTACGTGCCCAGGCGTCAGTAATCGGTCAGAATAGCAGAAACAACAGCAGCTATCTTGTCGTACTGTTTGGAAGGGAAAGTCCAATGGAGGCGACGGCAGTCCTGGCTATTGCAGGGTGTGGCGAGTGTACTAAATCCATCAGCACCCCAAGTGTCTTATAAGTCGATAGCTCGGCTTTCACAGCATCTGCAACACAGAAACAAACTGGGAGGTCAATCCACAGGCACTTGACTTGCGATCGAGGCAGCAATTGCTCTCACTCTGTCGCAGCGTTAGTCGTAGAGCCTTGAGCGAAGCCAATACGAGCTCCTCATTATCTCGTTTAATCAGTTCTGTTAGACGTCCGATGAGCCCAGCCTCACAGAGTGGTCGAATCACGTTTGCTTCACAGCAGGAATCTCCAATTAGACTAAAAAAGGCTGTAGAATTTCTTAAGCTGCAGACGAACTCACAGCTGCCGGCACAGAGAGCAAAAATGACTTCGAGTGCCAGATGCGTCGCTTGCTGATCTTGACTGTCGAGCAGAGCCATGACCTTGTCCATTCCCTTTACAGCGAGAAAGATCTTGGCCACCGACGCTGACCAAAAATCCATCAGTATGAACTCTACCTTGTCAGCTCCAACACTTCGACCTACCTCGCTGAACAATCCTCGATAGTAATGCAAGCCCCGCACTCCTTGCAATTGGATCCACACAATCCACCAGCGCGACTAGTGGGGAAACCCACGTCTCGTCCAGCATCGTTGAAATGGCGCAAAGAGCTTCGCTTGGAGTCTACACACATCGCTCGTTAGACACTCTTAAGCCTCGAATGACTGCAATCGCTACGAACCATTTTCTTAAAGGGGTCTCGATGTGTTGCCTCAAGGTTGGTGGGGCTTGAGGTTCTCGATTCTACAGACTCGACGTCGCTTTCGCTCCAAAAGGGACCCGTGACCCACAGTGTTTTTTCGACGCGACGTAGATACTGGTACACATCTGCCTGCTCCGAGCTACTGGGGATGTGTGGAGACCCGAAAACCGCATCCAGCGATTGCGACGCACCCATGCTGCGTCTGATGAACTATTAGTGACCCAGGTTGAAGCCGGTGTAGCAAAACCGGTTTTACTGGTAGTGCTCCGGCTCAAGGTAAAAGTGTTTTACACACAGTTTCATGCTGGGAAAACTACCGGTATACCAGCAGTAAAAAGTAAGAAGTAAAGTATGACGGCTATTGACAGTGAAAGAAGTTAAACTCATAGCTCGAGGAATGTTTCTGAGCTGGAGTAATAAAGTGCAGGATGGAGGGCTGTGTGACGGGGTCACACAGCACCTTGCGCTTCAGGAAGTCGGCTTCCGAGAGTTTACAAACTCTCAGTAAACAGCAGTTCACAGGTCCCTTTGTCGAAGTAACCAGCTACAGATAAGATGCAAACTGGATGTATGTATAGGTAGGCTAAGCTTAAGTTAAATAAACAGCTTAAAAGTCACCTATAGTGAAGCTAATTCAGCCAATGGTTGGCCTCTGACGACCCTGGTGCCATGTACTACTAGTACGTAGTAGCAGGTATGTGACGTGTCACACTTCATGTAAACAGGGGTACACTTGAAATTACGTGCCCCGTTACATCCTCTCCCACTTAGGTTTGGTTTACCGACCACTAAGAATGAGGAAGAGTACCTCAGAAACTCTCAGTCTCAAAGTCGAAACACATCGACTTTGGCTGCGAGAACGCGGCGGAGGCTCACTTCATTGTTAGATCCTCGAGCATCACCAAAGCGTTCGCATTCTCGGTCCCCACTTTGACCTTAAGTATGCCCTGTGGCACAGCAAAAAGCTGCACGAAAGCACACATCAAGGCGGCTGCCGGAAAGATGCAAGTCAAGAGCGCAGATCCTCGCGTCAAAGACTTTGCACTTCAGAAGGCTACTAAGGTGGCCTCCGAGGCGATCGGTACGACCGGTGACACGACTGCGAGCAAGCGCACAAGCAAACGCCGCAGTCCGTCACCTTCGGTCTCTCCAGGCAATCGTCCGAATCTGCGGCTCGTTGAACGTGCGCTCAGTCCAGTCAGTGAGGACGTGGTCGAGGCCGGAAGCCTCCACAGCGTTCCTGTGGGCTCAGTGGAAAATCCAGTTTGGACTCCATTTTATTTACGGGGCCCGGGTTCCCGCCAAATGTTTCATACAATATAAACGTCTTATTTAAGATATTAAATTAGAAAGGAAATTCGGTTTAGTGGTGTCGCGCATCTATCATTATTCCAAGAACGAGTTTGCCAGGGCGGTAGTGAGCTCACCGACGTCAGCGTCTTCAGGATATTTTGGGTCATCATCGGCGTTGTCGAAGCGCTTCGGCAAAATGATCCCTGTGTGGCGGAAGCAGGTCGCAATTGTGTTGGGTGCCATCTCGTTCCAGATATGATCGGCCCATTACATCGCTACGAGCTGATTAACAGCGTAAACGTCACCTTCGTAGACTTCGTTATTGTTCGCCAAGCTGAGCGCACGTTCCATCTGATTTTTCTTGAAGGCTCCTTTTAGCGTAGCTGGAGAAATTTTGTCGTGCTAGGAAGCAGCATGTGAGGCCTCACCTTCATTAGCTCCAGGTTCTACGCTGTGCGTGATAAAGCGTTATTAAGCAGGAGGATGATCTTGCGATTGACTGCTCGCATTGCTCGGTCAACACGAAGCAGCCACTGGTTGAGCGCGATGCCTGGTCTCCAACAATTACACACATCTGCACTATCAAATGGTACGACGTTTTGCAAACGTACCTGTCATCCAGGTCTTGGTATTGTTAGCGTACTGGAAGCCAAGCTGAGCTGGATTTTTTTCTCGAATCAGCAATGACTCTTTGTACGTCCGATGAAGAGAGACGGTAGTTTGATGTCGCTGCAGGCGTTCGCAGTAAGCGCCAATGTGATTCGAGTCTTCTTCGTTTTTTTACCATTTTTGGGGTACATATGGTACACGTAGGGGCCATTGCGTAGCGCAGTACAGTCTCATCTATGTACAATCCAAGCAATGTCAACGTTACTTGGATTGTACAACGCCAACACTGTTTGAAGTGCGCGTCGATATGATTCAACGGCAGCTGGATCCACAAAGCCAGATTCACCGTGGAGCTGACAAAATTGGAGATCGTGGTGACGCAAGACCTTTGTCATCCAGCCGTTCGAGAGATCGAGCCCTTGCTTAGTCACATTGAGACCATCTAGCATTCGCGCGGCCTTTTTTTTATGAGTCCACGGGACAGCCGAATTTGCTTAGCCTCCATCTTCTCCACCCAATCGCGGAGAACCTTCAAGGATATTCGACAGTGGTGATAGCAAAAGTGGGGGCAGAATCTGTACAAATTTCCGCAAAGCGGCGCACCCAACTCGCACAAATGTGTTTCTCAGGTCTTCCCTCCATAAATTGCGACGTTTCGGTTTGTTTTCTGGGGTGAAGCTGTTTTTAACTCACCCTGGACCAGCCGTGGATCTTATCATAAACACAACAGAAACAATTTCGTATTATTTTGAATTGCACCGACAAATACTGTTTCCTTGATAAACATGCTGTAGTTGGAATTACCGTCGCTAAGACGTGTAGTGATCTCGGGGCTATCTCAATTCACTAATCGGCTCTGGTATTTTATCTATTAATAGACAATATTATCTGCTTAAGTAGCCTCTCTAGCCATGGCTGGCTGAAAGGCGTATTTTCCCACAACATTACGTAAAAAAGTATTCGCTTTTCAGAATTTATACCTGTTAGGATCCCTCTTTTGAGATTTATAAACCGATTTCTTGCAGCTAAAAAGTCTAAATTATATTGATATTAGTATTGCATCCAGTCAGAAGGTCGGATTAAGTGACCTGACGGACAGACGGACATTCATCTTACTTACTAGAACCCTGGGGGCTCGCTACGCGGGCGCCAGGACATGATTGGTTGGTGTAGTGTGAGCCTGCCACCTCCGCTACGCTGCGGTGGCTTAACCCCTCCGTTACCAGAAAATCCGAGTTAAAACAGCCTATTTATAGGTCGAAACTTACGACTTCGCTTTAATATTACTATTTGTAAGTGCGTGTCTTGCCACGTCGATACCTCATCGATTCCCGCTATTAACCCCCAGAGGTTTTTGAAATCTAAGTCGTAAGTGCTACGACATTGTGAACAAATCATAATTCGAAAAGCCAAAACTCACGACTTTCAGACTGCAATGCGCATTTTTTGTTAGCAACAGATCCCTCCTTGCTAATCCATAAAGCTCTGGGCGCTTCAAAAACTGTACGAAGACCAAGTAAATGCAGTGCTACCTAATCTATTTATACGATTGCTGACTGTAGAGCATCCTGGTCGACAAGCTCTTCCACCTCATTATCAGCGTCGCCATCTTTACAAATCAGCTCTCGTCGCGTGGGCTTACGTGTACCCACCTTGCCTGAGCGACGCAAGACGACCCGTTTCTCGAGGGATGCTGGGATGGAGACGCCACTCTCGAAGTCTTCATGCCAAATTTGGTAGCATGCCTTTCGTACACCCCCGTATATATACCGCGACTTGGGGCACAGGAAGCACTTCGCACCAGGCTGTGAACAGTCTTCACAGTAGTAAGTGGTCTGAAATGACTTCTTTCGTTCGCCGCGGAGAGGAGCGCAAACTTTACAGGAACGTTGACGGCGTTTCAGGACGCCTGATACGATGACCCAGTCGTCAAACTGCACATGCGCGTGACCATCTAGTTGGCGGCGCTTTCTGGAGCGCGCCATAGGAGAAAGAGTAGGAGCAGAAGCGTCGACAAAGTCGTCTGCCGTGAGCTGCAGCAGTTGTTTGTGCAGGAGGATATACCAGTCTCCACGGTCTCTAGGTACGAGTCGCTTGGGCCGACACGTTTCCTTCTGTGTGAGGTATGCATTCACCGGTGCCATGTCTACCAAACCCATGAACAGTGATTTGTAGTATTTCTGGAATCGGAACGCTGTCTGAATCGAATACGACTGGAGGCGGAGTTGATCATGGACATCAGTCGGTAACGAGCTTTGGGCACTTAAATGTTGATGGTCCTACCATCTTGATGTTTCTTTGGATTGAGTCTTCTACCATGATCGAGCCCGTTGCTAGGTCGTGTACTGGCTTCCTGTCCCACCAATGGCAGGCAATCACGGTCGGAATAGAATATGACCGCGAGAACGCGAAGGACCCCCGTTCTATCACACGCGGTCTTGTTTTGCATGTCTTAATGACTTGCTTATCAAACCCCAGCCGGTTAATCATGATCGTCCCTAGCACGTAGATCGACATCGATAAAAGCTGTATGACCAGCGGTACCGAGGAATAGAACCGGTCGATTACAACTAATCGAAATCCCCGAGATGCTCCACTCAGAACAGCCTTCATGTTTCGTATCACTGCTGCTGCCTCCGTCTTGTTGTCGACCTCTTGTTGGTCCCTATCTTCGGTATCTCGTTTCCCGACGTATACCTCAAAACTGTAGTCGCAAGTTACGACATATAACAAATCAAATAGGGAATTAATGTCAATAGTTACGACTTTTTATTTTTTTTCATAAAACATCACCGATGACAGGACGCACTCCTGGAATCACACACCATGAATAATTTTGTTCCGTAGCGGTGGGGCTTGTCGGGCATGAACGTGTTGTGTGTCGCTTCGATGTCGCCAATAGAGTGCCTTTATCAAAGGAGAACGTGCTACCAAGTGTCCATCCCGAGTGAATAAAAAGACTGCAACACGTCCACAACCGGCCATAACTTCCACATCTTATCGCGAACACGCGGGGCCTCGTTGTTCACGACGTGAAAGTCGCGAAGGATCGAAGTGCACCGGTTGCGAGCCATGAACTTGCCAAAGTTACCGGCTGATAGTGCGCCATCATCGGCCACCGCCCAATGTCGTGAGAAACGCCGCGTGATCGGGCTCAGCATTCTTGCCACTAAAAGGCTCATCACATGTAAGATCTCATGCGTTTGGTACGCAGGTTCGGCACGAAGACGCCTTTCAATATGCTAGACAGTCTCTGGCGTCGCAGCATGACGCTTCCGTTGCTTTGTTCGAAATCGTTTTGCTCTTATCGCGAACGCGCGGGGCCTCGTTGTTCACGACGTGAAAGTCGCGAAGGATCGAAGTGCACCGGTTGCGAGCCATGAACTTGCCAAAGTTACCGGCTGATAGTGCGCCATCATCGGCCATCGCCCAATGTCGTGAGAAACGCCGCGTGATCGGGCTCAGCATTCTTGCCACTAAAAGGCTCATCACATGTAAGATCTCATGCGTTTGGTACGCAGGCTCGGCACGAAGACGCCTTTCAATATGCTAGACAGTCTCTGGCGTCGCAGCATGACGCTTCCGTTGCTTTGTTCGAAATCGTTTTGCTCTGGCGTGTGCAGTTTGTCGCTTGTAGCGGTTGGTCTCCTTCGCAATGCTAACCCACAGCGACTTTGGCAGGTAATAAAAATAGCAGCATCGGCGAGTCTGCGATGGCTTGGATCTCTGGCGTAGGGGTAGCAACATCAGTAGCCAGATGCGCATATGCTTCACAATCACGTTCAAACTCGGAAGAGGGTGCACTCCACGAGAATTGCCGAAGCGCGTTGTTGTCGATATCTTTAAGGGTAAGCTTTCCACCCATCGCGTCCATTAGGGCGACATCTTCGTCAGGCTCCAGTAAGTCGTCGGGATATTCGCGCCGCTCAATGACCTCATCTCCACTATTATCGCTGTTGTCACTACCGCTCGAATCGATAGCCTCATTGGCGTCCAACACTTCTCCATCCGCCATGATGCTCACGTCGTCTTCCACTACGGCAACACGGCCATCCGGAGCGTCCTCCACACTCTCATAATCATCCACACTGGCACCGTCACTCGCGTTATCATTATATAGCTGTTAGACTCGGCGCCCGACAAGAGGCGCTGAAAGGCACCGACGACCAGCTCGTGATCTGCCTGACCCAGACGATCCGACTGGGAACCGCTCTCCGATCCGAACATCACTGCTATTGTGTTGGCTGATAGCACAATGGATGCGTCGATCTGTGACGCCGTCACCGACTCCTTCGCTGGCAAGCCCTCATCGACACTCGCCTACCCCCCACTCTCGCTACTTTTTTCTCCAATAAGCTTTGATTCGATAGCAAACGTCGTCACTGCACAAACAACAATTCATTTAGATACCTGTGTTGTGCTTCGTTCACGCGTTACGTACCGACAAGCAAGATCCCGGTCGGTGACGTATACATTTACTCCTTCACGAGTCCGGAGCCTGACGGCCTCTTCGATGTCCACCCCACTCCAAGGAGCTGCCGCCACAAGTGCTTGAAGTCGACCGCTCGAACCCCAAGCGTGTCTTGAACTACCGACTGCCTGGTTCTCGTACTGGATTGTACTCTTGCCATTGTGGCAAATTCTGGAATGAGGCACCGCTGCTTCGAGTCGGCACCCTCGACCACTCAATCAAGTGTCCGGACTGACCATATTGCTGCAGCACATCTACCCTTCCCCCACGCTTTCTTTGGCATTTTCTTTTTTGACCTCTTCTAGTCTATATTTTTTGGCAGCGAAAATTGACTTGATTAAAGTATCGTGTTCACTTTGTTCGAGCCATTTCATGTCTAGAGATTTCAGTTACGTCGTAACTTAAGACTTATGTCCTCCTTGAAGCCGTAAGTTACGACGTTGGTAACGGAGGGGTTAAAACAAGATACCGAAATCAAAGCTAAATGTATTATATGTAATGTGTGGCCTACCAATTTAGCGTCCCAAAGTTTGCTCTGTACATATTTTTCTTGATGTGTACGTTGTCTCCCTCATCAATGGTCTTTGGATCAACAGCAATATTGATCGCCTTCCTTGATGTCACACTTGACAACACCACATCGTGTTGAGTATGTGCGACGACTGGCTGGTCTAGGTAGATAACCGCATGATAGATTGAGCGCCGATGATTTTTGTTAATCATCAGGCTAAAGATAGACATGACTCTGAATCATTGCGAAGAGGATGTCTTTGTCGCCGCCACCCAGGTCTAACGTGAGATTTGTTCCTAGCGATCTACCGACTATAGTGGTGTCAGATGCAGAGCGTCATGTGATTATTTTTCCCAGAGATCGCGGACTCGGAGCAAAAAAAAGTGAATAATGTTTGGCAGACTTAAATGAAAAAAAGGTTGCGTATCAATTCTATTTTGTAAATAAATATAAGATGTTTCCTTCGTCTCGGATAGTAAACAAAATGAGAAACTATTTTTAACGATTCCATATTAGAAGAATTATGACGCATTTCACATCAGCACTCAATTTTTTTTAGTAAAACGCTGCGGTGAACGCTTCTGCCCGTGCTCTAATTCGTAAACGAATGCATACATAGGGCCCATAATAGGCGGGGTTTCCGGTTTCGGTCGCACAGAACCAATCCGTTTTTATGTTTCGGCTGTCCGCACCCGTTCGTTTAGGGGATGTTTCATTCCGGGGGGGGGGGGAGGTTAAGTAGGGCAACTTCTCAGCCAATCAAAATCATCCAAATTTGCCCTGGCTGCCCTGAGCTGCAACTTTAAGGATAAAAAATTACCTGTATCGCTCCTCTGGAATGAAACATTCCCTTGAGTATATAACCGGCCGAAGCTTGCCCGAACGGTTACGGCTAACTGCTTACGACCTCTGTTTTACAGTAAATTGATGTACCCTATCCCTTAATTTGATTTATATCTACTAAACCTTTTAAGAGCATTTCCACCAGCTGCGACAATACAAAAGCTACAATTGGTCAATAATGTTCATACTCAAATTTGATCGACATGCCACACCAGCCGAAGACAATCCACAACAGATCTCACAAAAAGAAGCCCATGTCGGTGAACTCGTTTAGCGCAGCGTCGAGATGCCCCCAGGCTTATCTCGACATTGAAGACGAAGACGAGGAGGAGGATCTTGTCATTCAGCAGCTCCTATATCCTGATCCTCATGCTGTCGCCCAGCGACGCGGAGGGTCACGCCCCGGCAAACGTGCCAACAAGAACCGAGACTTTCAGACGCGTTACCAGCGCTTCGTAGAGCAGTATTTTGCGCCGATTCCAGTCTATGATGATGATGACTTTAGAATTCGAAATCGCATGAGCAAGACTATGTTTTATCGCGTTTTGAACGGTGTACTTGATGCAGATTCCGCGTATTTTGAGCAGCGACCGAATGCAGCAAAGAAAATGGGCATTCACCCTCTTATGAAGGTGACATCTGCCTTAAGGGTTCTAGCTTACGCAATGTCCGCTGATTCTATAGACGAGAATCTGGAGATGTCCAAGACGGCTATCTACAATAACGTCTGTCATTTCGTGGATGCCGTGGACAAGCAGTTTGGTGACGAGTATCTACGATCTCCTACGGAATCAGATATGAAGCGGCTACTCGAATTACGCGGCGTGGATTTGTCGGAATGTGGTGCAGCATCGACTGCATGCACTGGGAGTGGCAAAACTGCCCGACCGGTTGGGCTGGGCTGCTTAAAGGCAAGGAGAAAAAACCTACGGTTGTTCTGGAGGCGTGCGCAGATAAGGAGCTTTGGATTTGGCACGCTAGCTTTGGCTGGCTTGGAGCGCTAAACGATCTTAATATTCTCGATAGATCTCCCGTGTTCGATGAATTAATGAAAGGAAACGCACCTCAAGTGAATTTCGAAGCTAATGGACATTCGTATGACATGGCGTATTGCCTAGCAGATGGAATATATCCTGACTGGGCTGCATTTGTTAAAACATTATCAGAACCGCGTGGTAACAAGTAAAAGTGCTATGCAAAAGCACAGGAAGCGCTCAGAAAAGATGTCGAACGCGCATTTGGCGTCCTGCAGGCCCGATGGAGGATTTTAGCCTTACCGTGCAAACTACTTTCACGGCTGAACATGAATAAGGTTATGCGAGCCTGCATTATCCTGCACAATATGGTACGTGAAGAGAATCGTTTCTCTTCAGTTGATGAGCACGGATATTTGTTTGACGACGAGCAAGAAAATCCTCTGTACAAGCTTCGCGTTTCACGACCAGTTGGATATCGACCTAGATCGCTTGGTGAGCTCACAGCACGCATTAATACGATCGAGAACGCTTCACGTCACGCTCAGCTGCAGGTCGACTTAGCTGAACATGTATGGAAGTGTTTTGGTGAAACAGACGATTAAAATAAAACAAAGATCGTGAGCTGACAAGACTTTTTTTATTAACGTTAATTCTTGAATGAATTTGCTAGCTTTCTGATAAAAAACAGAGTAGTCACGTGAAAAACATCCTAGTCAGTGAACTCGATCGACGAAGCTGGAGTATCAGATAATGGAGTTAGTGGTGGAAAACTTGCCGTCGTGAACGAAGACGATAGCGTGGATGAAATGTCCGATGACGATGGTAGATTGTAGTCCTGTGAAGCGAAAGTCGCTAGAGATGAATTGTCACCGGTCGATGATGTGCTTTGAGGTGAGGTCGTGCTCACAGTATCAAGGCGACGCAGCAAGTTGGCACGACGGTTTTCTAGGTACGTAGCATGCCCACGGCTTGCTGGCACAGTACTAAAGAGCTCGTTGAGCATTGTGTGTAGCACTTGCTCTTCTTGGAGGCGCTACTGGGCTTAATTGATGTGAAGCTGCTCCTTTAGTACTTTCACCTTTAGGGTCATCGACGATGCAAGTGTTTCCTGGGCTTTTACTGCTCGAAGTGGAATCAACCTCTCTACTTTAGTTCGTTTTGCAGCTTTAACCCCGACGTTGGGACGCTCGTTTTCTGTGTTATCGCTGGTAGGTGGACCGGCCAGTGTTTGCCCAATGTTTGTAGTCTCAGTTTCCTCTTCAGACACAGAACGCTTCCCAGAGCATAAAGATTGCCCGCGACCTGAAACTCTATCAAGCCCCTTCTCAAACTTTGGGCACCTGGACAGCAAGTCGTAGCACTCTACATAAGCAAAATGCTGGTTGTAGCGCTCTTTATACAACGCCAACGCCTGCTTCATCATATCCCTCTCAGTTGACCCAGACGTTCTCAGAGACTCAACGTGAGTCGAGCAGCCAACATACTTTGCAATTGACTTTTGAATTTGACTAAAATGCGCCTGGAGGCTTGAACACATACGACTTGGCATCTTTCCTGATGCTAGAGCAACCGATATGAGCTCCGAACTCTCCATAATATCCTTTACTCGACACCAAAAGTCCTTGGCGGTCTGGTTAATTCCGACTAATGCGTCGGTAAACACCTGTACCCATGCTCGCGCTAGCTCCAAATCTTCAGCTACAGCATAGTTACGCCCTTGCGCTACCTTCTCTCGTGCCGAGAACATTTCGTTCGTACACTGAGCGCTGAAGGGTCGCACAAGGTAGTGTTTTGTCAGCGATCATCGGTGTGTTATATCTTGTCGAAGGATGACCGGAGGATGGTCGATGGGCAAATTTAGTCCGTGTTTTGTCGAACTGGTGCGAGCCCAAAAAGTCATCCGTTGGTTAAATTTTGTTTTTGTCGATGTTTTGTGGAAATGCTCTAACTACTGAGTAACAAAAGCTTCAACTGATCCAATTGTCTCACAAAATCGTATTTCTCGTTGTAAAACCGGTTTGACAGCAGTATCGAAACAAAAATCGAGCACATTATTTCGAGCCGGTCGATTTCTAACGTCATTTCTAACATGGCAACGCATACAAACGCTTAGTCAACACGCAAACAGCCAAAAAACAAACCGAAGAACACTCCGCTATCGTACCGGTCCGTACAGCCAGCTGCGCGCGCATTGACTCGCCTGCCGATCGCCGATCGCTCCTGCCCTCGACCATCTTCTGGTCACTTGGTGTCGCCCCCTGCGCCTCCGCCTCTCTCGCCTCGCTACTGCCGAGTGTGTAAGGTGCCACTTTGTCTGCTTGCCCCCGGTTGCCCCCCCCCCTCACTGCGTTTATCTCTCCCTGTCTCTGCTTTAGCGACATCCTCGTCGTGTTGCTTGACCTGCCGTCGTAGCCGACACGCGAGCGACCGACAGACCACCGGTCAACACGAAAGCGCGCGCCCCCAGTTCCGACAGCCAGCGTCCCTCCCGCACACGCGCATTCGACCGGTTTCGATCGTGGGCGGGCGGACTACTCGGTAAAAGCTCCACTAGAGACCGAGCAGCCACCGAACCAGTGCGGGCACCTCATAGGGACCCAGCCAGAAAGGCAGCGACTCCAAATCGCTCTAAACGTGTAAAATCTATCGCTGAACAGCCCAGCAGCAGCAGTAACGAGGTCACTGAAGTGGCCAGTGACTCAGCAGCGAGAAAAGAAGAGGAAGCGATGCAGGAGGTCTCGGCTGAACTACAGCAGCAGCTACAGGCATTGGGCATCAACCCGTCAGATGACGTTTTCCGTACAGGCTCGGAAGAGTTTGACCACAATGGACTGAGCTCTCCAATCCCGCAGGAAGTGCGCTTCATGAATGCTGAGCTGCGACGTTGTCCTGTGGAAGGTGTCGGTATGGTGCTGGCAATATTTTCTGGATCTGGAGCTGTGTACGAATTCGTGCGTACGCTGCGTAAGTGTATCTATGGCAAGGTGAAACACGCCGTGCGTCTGCAGATGACACCCAATGGCACCTTCGTGCGCACGCAATTCGAAGTGGCCATCAAGGTCATGAGTAAGGTGCGTATATCAATGAAGTATTAATACTGGTAGGTGGCTGGATTATCTCATGTGTTATCCGATTTTCAGGTTATTATAGAGGAGGGCAAGCTTCAAGAGAACCCACTTGTTGAGCTTGCAGCGCAGCAGTTCCTTTCAGTACCAGGCCACGAGAACGTACTCACGCTGGTAAGTTATCTTGAAGGGATAATTGCCTTGACTCTTATGTCATCTCACGCATAACCCTATCTTGTGTTGTGTTTCCACCATGCAGATCGAGTGTTTGCACGACGCCGACTTCATCTATGCTGTTCTTCCGTTTTGTAATGGTGGCGAGTTGTTTTCGGTTGTGGAGAGCGGTGGTGCAATGGAGGAAGCCGAGTGCCGCCATTGGTTTACTCAAGTTCTCGCGGGCTTGTCTTACCTGCAGAGTCGCTACATTTGCCATCGTGACATGTCCTTAGAAAATGTGCTACTGGATGGCGATACCTCGAAGGTACGGGAAGCTCGACTGTATATGTCATGAGGTTACGCAGGTTTGACTTTACTTTTGCCTTGTATGGGATAGATCATCGACTTCGGTCTGTCAATTGGCATTCCTGTTGACGCCCATGGCATGACATATTCACTGCCGCCTGCTGGCGCAGTTGGAAAAATCTTTTACATGCCTCCCGAGGTACGACCGCGGCTTCACACTTGCTTGTCATGAGAACGGATTCTGACAAGAATATTTTATGCTCAGATTTACCGCAACCAAGTCCCCTTCAACGGCTTCTCGGCGGATATTTGGTCAACTGGTGTAATGCTATTCATCATGGTTACCGGGGCACCTCCCTTCGAGCGTCCGGATGACGCCGATCCGCGCTTCCAGATGATTGCACAGGGTCTAATGAGTGACATGTTAGACTCGTGGGGCATGAACCACGTGTCTGCGAGTGTGCGTGACTTGATGTCCAAAATGCTGATCGTGGACGATCCGTCTCGGCGTCTGACAGTAGAGCAGATCGCCATGCATCCGTGGATCCAGGGCGGATAGGCCGAGTACTTGCTGCCGCGCAAGAATGAACCGTTGTCTCAAAAGGAAGCGTTCCTGATTGTACATGGTTAGCATTGTTGAATGTGCAAAACGTCGATAGTTTGGGACCTTGCCTGCTGGTCGTACATGTATTTCTTCAGCCCCAATCGGATCGACAGTAGTAGAAAGCGCCAGGTGGAGCAGGATGCATCGAAGGTGGCAGGTTCTGCAGCGCAAATGTCGGTTTCTGAGCGCTATTTGCTGGAGGGTTCTCTAGTGTCCATGCAGGAGAGTCCTGACCAACAATTCCAGCTGCAGCTGCATGCCGCTCTTGATCTGGTAAAAAAAGCGTTGAAAATGAGTGATGAGGAATATGTACTCATAGCCTAGCCAAGACGTTCTTGCGCATACCTGTGAAGCTATCGTACCAGAGCTTGACGTTGGCCTTGTGGTTGCGTCCGCGGTTGTGTCGTTGGCGCGCCTCGTGCGAGTCCTCAAACGACTTGTTACAGTACTCGCAGACGAAGCGCGGCTTCCCCATGTTGTCCTGGTCGTTTAGGTTTTATTTTAGCTGTTTGCCTTCCATTATCTGAACCCCTATGTGCCTTCTTTATTTTCATAAATCTATGTTTAATTTAGACCAGTCGCTACAAAATGCAGAGTTCAGTAAGCAACTTTTTTTTTTACAGTCCCTACCATCATACTTACCGTGTTTAAAAAAAAATTATTCTAGTAATCATGACACAGTCTATTTATAATTATCGTGTCAATTTCAGCTAATTACAGGTAGTCCACGCGGGTATTTAATGCAAGCTGGACAGGCCATTACTATCCTTTGCATTGATTGATGCGATAGCGGCTCAGAAACCGCCCATGACATCGAGCTCGACGCTTAACTAAATATATCGTATAGCGATTGCAGACATGCAATTTGAAGTGCAGGTGACTCTGATCACTTCTCATACCAAACTCAATGAAAGCTAAAAAAAATCAAACTGTAGCATTTTTAATGCATTGAAGTGCGTTCATTTTGTGCTAATTCAAAATTAGTCATTAGACACTCGAATCTGCCAAAACATTTGGATATTGAGTCGCAAAACGCCTTGTTGACGGGGGTGTTTTTTATTTGATAGATGATTAAACGTCATTTAGGCTCCAATTTTCCAAACGTTTCTTTATGCAACCAACTTTAATTTACACCTCTCGTTTTGTGCTGTTGTCTTACCGCTCCCGTTAAAATCGTAACCTACGTTCTTGTCGGCGACACGTCTGCCCGTTAAGTAGTATCGGATTTTGCTGTCTAAACAACTCTTTGAAACAATGGCTTCAAAAGGAACTCGTAATATGAGCTCCTTTTGTTCAATCTAAAATTATCTATCTCTATGGCTCAAGTGACAACGTTTATTAACACCGCGTTGTTCTGTTCTTACGGCCAGCTTCTGTTGTACATGTACTACGATTTGGTAGGTCAGTCAGTTACCCCACACTCAGATAACTCATTAATATTTTTTACAACAAAACAGTTGTTGTTTTAGTTCTAGTCATTGCAACTTGCAGAAACAATTGAGTACAGAGTATTACGTATATGTCCTAGGAAACACATGTCACGCTAAGCACCTTGCAGCATTGGAAGCAAGCCCTCAGTTTAGCACTCAAATATGAGTAACAACATTTGCTGTTAAAATAGTAAATGATAGTAGAACGATGCCGCCTTCGGATAATGGATAGCACTGTGCAAATCACACTGGGAAACAAATCATATAGGCTACACAATCCAGTTTTGGACCAATTGGAGCCGCCTTCGCTGCGCTCGGCAGCCAGTAGAAATCTTAAAACTAGGCTGTCCAATTATTTGTCCGGAAAAGAGTGACAGGCACGACAAGTTAAGTGTGACGGACAGACAGGTTGCTGCAATAGCTGTTTAAGACAAGCGCTCTGGGCTCCGGCTCCGCGGACGCTAGGGCATGGTTGGTTGGTGTAGAGAAGGCTGCTCACCTCCGCTGTGCTGCGGTGGACTTCGAGTTTCTAACTCAAAGCAGAGCTACTTCTATCAAACGCATACCGTGTCCTACAAATGCTGTATTAACAAAGACTCTGCCCACAACACTCTTATCCATCGCCGGTGTCACCGACCTACAGCATTTCCTGATCTCTGAAAAAATGTTACCGTTTACAGCCCTATATAGAGTTGAATGTGCCCGATAGCAGGCAGGCCCAGATCATCATCTAAAGGTGGACATATAACTCCAAATCATTGCGAAGCAAAATTCGTTGTCGCCAGGGCTTAACGTGACCCGCAAGATGAATGCCATCTACCCTGAAAGGCTTTGTCTCAGTTATCGTTTAAGCGCGTCCTTTCCGAAATGACACCACTCCGAGGCACACTTCATTGCAAAGTCAATATCGTTTGCTCAGAAGGCGAATCACTATCATTGGTGCTCCAAAACCTACATATAAATTGATGAGGAAATCGAGCATAATCTTAGCGTGCTTAACCCTATTGCTGCCGGAAATTTACTTGGATTTTGTATGGTAAATATCCCACAGTCCAATGTAAAACATGCATATATGCTGGGTTTTACTCCGAACCCCGCAGCATATTATATCATATTGCGTGGGTTTACCAATACTTATTGCAATTATTGTAGTAAAACCAAGCAATATGCTTGGTTTTCCGCAAACCACATGATTCGTTCAAAATGAAATCCTCACATTTTGGTTGAGTAAAAAGTGTAAAACCAAGCATATGGCAGGGTTTTAGTGGCAACGGTAGCAATAGGGTTAGTACATCTACGCAAACATACTACGCCATCGGGTGAATTGAGCGTACTTTTGTCGCAATTCGTGATATGGTAACGAATGCCTCGTCTTGCTGTGAGGCATTCGTTACCATATCACGGATTGCGACAATCTGTTAAAGTAAGATTTGAGCTCATATCCATATGTGTAGTGTCTTTTAGAACCGCTAGTATTTGTCGATGATCACCACAAATATTAAAATCTTAACTCCAAATGGCTTTACGGAGATCTTTTTTGTATCACCGAATGATCTGTCTTCCTCCTTAAAGTAAGGTCACGATTGTAGGTGGCTCATCATAATGAATCGGATTGTCATTTAAAATCAACTTCGCTTTCTATGGTGACATGATAGGATGAACGTCATTGACTTACTTTCCGGCTTAAATGCATAGCTACTGACTGACATAGTGGCGTAGATCCTTTCTGACTGACATTATACTGTCCCCGATATGTATGACAAACATACGAAGCTATATGGCGGTATTGGATCGTAGTGATGTTTAGACTTGAAGTGAATAAGCGTTCATGCACATTAGATGAAGTACTTTCGCTGCCTATTTATCAGCTCTGCGTGCTAGCTGATGTGTCCATCCATCTATCGCAAGGTCATTAATGAGTGTATATGCCACGCGCTCGTGATAGCCAAAACCTTTGCATAGGACCACTGTCACGTTCTCGGTACTTTGGCGTCGTCGTGCTGGCTTACTGTGCTTACGTTTCTGATGTATTATTGTGCCTTTCCAAAGTTTTGGCCAATCTGACCTTTAAAGGCTGGTCCTAAGCAAGGGTGGGTAGGGCTAAAGGTGGGATTTGAGGACGAACTGGAGTTGAGTTGCTAAGCCAGACCAATAACTAATATAATATAATATATGACCAATAACACTGTTTGATTTTGCCGACTGCAATCCAATAATACTTGATTGTGGAGGTCCTACGTAAGGGCTCCGATTTGGTCTAAAGGGTACCTTTTTACAAATTAAGGGCTGAATGGCAAGGATTTGCCGGCCATTTACCCTTACGTAAGGTATCCACAGCAGATTGATTTTAAATGAAATATGGGCTACTCATCAGACATACGCTGGCGAGGCGTTGTCTTGCAGTATGTCTACAATATTGAGATCAGCGTAGTTGCCGGTGTACTGGGCGTCTCGACCAGAAGCCTTCGAAAATGAAAAAAAAAACCATCAACAGAAAATGCCGACAACACCCCAAAGAATGAGCGGTCATCTAAATGCATACTAATATTTTAATGAAATTTTGTCAGATATGGTCAAATATGTCTTTCGTCTTTTTTTTCGTCAAAGGGTTAGGCTAAATTTTAGTCGGAAGGACCCGATCAGATAGTAGGTCTTCCGTAAGGGTCATCCTCCTACGTAGGACCATACAACTGAGGGCGTTTGGCAGAAAGGTACAATAGTCGATATGACCAGGCGCGTCACTAACTGGGCACAGGTCATACCGCCGAGATACAGGCTAGCTGACCGTGTGTCTGATAGCTATATATACGCGCGCGGCGGAAACACCTTATAACCAACAGATCTCTTATTTCGACCATTATGGACAGGGCACTAAGTACAGTACTGCGTACCGACACATCGACTTGCCACGCCCATATGTATGGTCAGCACTACCGCACACGGGCACACGAGCGTCTGTAGATAGCAACTTATTCGTCGCGCGGAGTGCTAACTTAATACTGTATTTTTTATTTGCGAGCACGCATGAGTGAAATATACGTTGTATGCGTTGATGGAACAGAAAGCATGGATTTGCATGTGTCCAAGTGAGCGAGTGTACTTTCCATCTACGATGACGCGTATGTAGATAGGGCGCTTGCAAGGGCACACAGTTTTTATCATGTGCTAATTATTATATGAAACGCGCTACGCTCTGTAGGTGCGTCAGCACAATTGACAGTGCCGGAGTCAGTTTACCATATGTGCGGCTCCAAGTTCGCACTGTCCGCCAGTATACTAAATACAAAAACAGGTAGGAAAATGAGGGCCTAAAGGGTATATTTATCAACTACTTACTCTTCTTCTGCTTCTTTTGCTTGATGTACTTAGCGCTTCGGGCAGTCAGCTTACGAGGGCGGCTGCTCCTCTTTTCCTTCTTAGGGTACAAGTCAGGACCCATCGCCTTCTTGACTTTCAACAGGCTATCCCGGCGGCACACTTCGACCAAATCAGGTGGTTGGGGCTTTTCCTTCTGGAGCTTAACCGCTTTGAGCTGTTCTCGCAGGCTATGCTGCGCCGCGCGATGTCTCGTCCGCTGATAGTCTGGAGCGTGTACCCGTACTGCAGCTTCCTACAGCAGGCGCAGCGCGCCGGTGGGTTCATCGTAGACCGCTTCGGATTCACCAGTAGCAGGTCAATATTGGCCTTGAGCGTGGACCTCGCCATGCTGCAAACGGCGAGCAGCCTATTATAATTACTAACGTGCATAAAAATATGTGGTATTCTAACGGTCATTTACTGCTTGGTGTATTAACAGAACGAAATAATAAATAACGTTGTATTATTATATCAAAAGCATGATATAGTCTAAAACAATAAATACCTCTAAATAGTAGCCAATAAACCACCATTTAATGCTGTTAGACAAACTGTATTTTTAAATTTTGCAATTGCTTAAATATTGCTATGTTTTTGCAAAACATACGTTTTAAGCAATAAAAATGACTTCAAATACTACTTCATCTGTAGAGCGGTCATATTTAATTTATTCATCGGAATATGTTAAACTGACATCTCATTGGTCTAAAATAATATTTGGATAACGGTGAATTTTCTGGTCGAAATTTGAATCAAATCGGTCACTTGGTCGCAACTATATGATGACGCAAAGTTTGTGATGCCGAATTGGAAATTGAAAAGTCTTCGCTTGACCGTCATTTTTAATTTAGGTGGCGTGAAAACTTGTAGAGACGTAAAACTTGCCATCGAATAATGCTACTGATAGCGCGTAGCTCGGCTTTGACTCGGGCCAGTAGTGGTTGCCAACAACAACAGCAATTCTAAAGGCGTACTTAGCCAAAATACAACGGTATTTTTAAGTGACTTGAATTTGTAAGGAAGCCGCTTATATTTTTGGACACGGTTTAGATAGGTAGCCCGCTTATATTTCCGGACAGAGGAAGTACCACGTAGGTACCATGCGCGCATCCAGTGCGATGTCCGGGTGCAGCTAACGCAAAGGTTGTAAAACTTCCTTCAATATTAGCAATAATACTATCGGCTCTACTTTACAAGGTGTGAGGAAAAAACATTGCAGAGCTCTTACAGACAAGGTGTTTACTGTGCCCGATTTGCAGTACATACGACAGGTTTTGAGTAGCAAAATGTACTAATGTAATCGTTAACACAACCCACCAGGTTGCTTGCATCCAATAGGTGCGCTTCGTTCTCGGCAGAAATGTTTACCTCACGTCCAATCGCGAAGGCGAGAGACGGTCCGATCGTGCGACAGATCCAGTAGGTGTCGCAGGTCGGCAAATATCGCCCAATCAGGGCGCCTCTTAATTGTAAAACGTTTTTTAATATTTTTGTAATTTTGGCTTAGCTAGGTCGGGTCGGAAAGATATGCGCAGCTGATAGGATGGGAAGGAAATGCATTAGACCGGTCGAGTGTAACCATGCGAAAAGGTAGATAAAAGCAGGAGGGCAGGGAAGCGACGGATAGATTGACAGACGGACAGGTATATCGGTAATGGGGCGAGAAACTAACGCAAGGGCATGGTTGGTTGGTGTAGAGAGGGTTGACCACCTCCGCTGCGCTGCGGTGAACTAATTTTTTTTATTCAAAGCAAAGCTACATATAATATATGTATACCGTGTTCTAATATTTTTACGCTCCAAAAAACATTGTAGACAATATTCTCAGTACTCACATGTTCTGTCTCACTAAGCGGCTTTCGACCTACCTTTTGTATTTTTTAAGCCACTTTTCACAGCATCAGTTATGTATGCGTGACAACTGGCTGTTACAGACAGATACCCGCGTGATAGATTTAGCTCGGATAAATATTGTTAATCGTCGTGGTAAAGGCATCACTGTAAATCATTGCGAAGAGGAACTATTCGTCGTCACCACCAGGGTTTGAGGTGATCTGCATGATGAACACCATCTTAATGTTGTCTTAATTCTCGATTGAGCGCTTCGCTCCTCAAATGGCACCACTTTGAGGTGCGCTCGCTGCAAAGTCACTCTCTGTTATTCAGAATATGGGTCATTAGAGAACTTTAGTTTCTGGAATATATCGTCACCTTGGAATAAAATGTTGCAATAAAATCGTACTTAAAACGTAACTTGCATATTTATATACCAAAAGCTTGTTCCAGTGGAATACAGGAGGGTCGAGATATTCCAGTGCCATAGCTCAGCGGATTCCTGTAAAACCATATAACCCGAAAAACTCGACGTCAGTCTAGGTGATATCGCACCAATTGCGTGCGGCAACCTTGGGCAAAGGGAGTCAACCAACCTGCAAAATCTCGGCGCCAGCCACGACCCCCCGCGCGACTCCAGGTAAAAGCCGACAGAAGCCCCAGAGCATTGGACAAACGCGCTAATCAGCTCCTTACCTGGATACCTTCAGAGACTACAGTACGTGTTCATTCTGATGGTGTCACCGGACAACGTGTCGCTAACTACTACGATAATGCAGTCAGACGTCGAGTTGGACGGTGACGAGCCACAAGTCTTGCAAGTCGTGGCAGCGCCACCCGTACGCAGTGGTGGAGGCGATGACGAGACGCTCTGCTCAAGCGACTGTGTCAAGTAAACAAGAGCGAGAAAGCCCGCAAAAAGCGCATCACGTACTCGGTGAAAGTAGACTGCATGCTCATGAACGAGGTGGTTGGTGATGACGGGACCTTCTAGCTTCATAGCGCCTCGAAGCCGGAGCGGTGGGTCGAAATTACGGAGCGTCTGGGCTCAGCGCTGAGCAAGGAGCTGTCTGCTGGCGGTGTACGCAAGCACGTTGACAAGTTGAAAAAAAGAGTACCGATCGAAGCGCGCAAAGGAGCGAGCCATGTCAGGTATGACTTATGCTACGGAATTTTGTTCGCTGGTTGTGTGTAGACTACACCTATGTATACCGCAGGCCAAGAACCACATAAGTCTGTCGACGAAAACGAGCTGGAGCGCTTGGTGGAGGTTTACGTTCAGAAGAAGAACGATGAAACCTTGGTACAAAGCAAGCGCACCGAATCCAAGACCAAAAAGGTTGCCATGACAGGTCCTAGTGATGCATGAACTCTGCTGCGTACAGCGCGGCGGCTTCGGCTTCATATCCCATCGCGTACAGCGCTAAGATGCGGAAGCGCGCTTCCTTCTCGTCGGCATCGCATTTCTCCCCTGTTCAATTTTGTAGTGACTTACCCTAGCCTCTACGGCTAGGGCACAGTGTACGGCAACCTGCCTAAACTTCAAAGTGTACCTTTGGAATATCACTCGAGCAAGAAACTGGTCCCATATTCCAGTAGAGTTTATTCCAGAAACTAAAGTTCTCTATTATCGATTGCGCGGCAAACCTCAACCTAAATCGGTGAGGATATTGCAGATTAGCTTAGCGATTAGAAATACGTCTACCACAGCGTATTGGGATCCCACGCCATAGCGGAGTTATTCATAATATCAAAGTATCATTGAAGGGCTCGTCTCAATAAATCAGATTGACAGTAATAAGTAATTTCGTCTTCTTACTCTGGCATGATAAGATGTACGTCATTTACTATTTATCGACTTTTTGCATAATTACTGACTGACAGAGTGGTGTCGAGTGACGTTCACTGGCTCCGATACGTATAACAAACATATGACCGTAGGCAGATTATCATATCGTAGTGATGTTGAGACACAAATCGAATAGCAGTTTATGCACATCAGATAAAATATTTTCGCTGCCTTCTTATCAGCTCGGCGTGCAATTCGATATGTCCGTGTATATCATGAAGGTCGCCTTGATGTGCGAGGCCGTATGAAGCACCATGACACACGAGGTCGTATGAAGGCACGTGTCGTGCGAGGCGGTATAGGCGCGTGTGCTGAAGTCGTGATGTGCGAAACCGTATGAAGCTCCATGACATACGAGGCCGTATGAAATCCCATGTTGTGTGAGGCGGTATAGGCGCGTGCGCTGAAGAACACATATAGTAATAGCACGCTTTGAGAAGACTTACTATAATTCTGCTCTAATATAATATGTGATGAGCTTTTCACCCCATCTCGATAAATGGCCATGGAGAGAAGTCACACCTTCGGCGCGGCAGATCCGACGCGTCTCATGATAGCATGCGAGATATCTAGATCATAGACAGGTGGAAGCTCTGC